CCCCAACATCTCTCAACGAGTACCTACCATCATCACACCTACTTACTACATCACCATCAAGTCAACATCATGGCCGTCAGACTAGCCAAAGCTTCGGATCTTGCCACCACCTCGCGCATTGCTTTCCGTGGCTTCAGCATATCTCCATGGAATGCATTCTACCGCCCTTTTGCCTCTGCATACCCCCAGCATGTTGAGAAATCCTACCTCCGAGAGCAGCAAGAGTCTCTGGGTGATCAAACCAAGCTCTTCGCCGTCGTCGAACTACAGGATGAGGCACAGGACGCCAAGCAGGTGGTGGGCTTTGCCATATGGAACTATGCCCCGCAGCAGAAGAAGCAGCAGCAGCAGCGGAACAGTGACGCCGCAGCCATCGGCGCCCTCAATGAGAAAGGTTCTTGGCCCCACCATAGCTGACCGGAAACACTCCCTAATTGAACCAGACCGCAGTGTTGATCCTTACCGAGCCAGCATCCTCTTCAGCGCCACAGAAAGTGCAGTTCAAAAGTGAGGTTCCCTCCCACACTACTTCCGATCCATAAATCCGAGCCAGCTGACACTGCCAACCTTTACCCTAGGTGCCTAGGCGGCCACATGGAGCTTGACAACATGGCAGTCGACCCCGACCACTTCCGCAAGGGCTACGGCACTCTGCTGTGCCGCCACGGCATGGAAATCGCCCGACAAGACAAGGTTGCTGTAGGTGTCATTGCAGCGGAGCTCGGAATGAAGCTCTACGAGTCTCTTGGGTATGCCTGTACTGCTAAAGTCTCTCTCACTGATGGCCGCCCGGATGAGGATGCCAGTGTTGACTTCTGGGTGCAGAAATGGAACCCGAAGGAGAACTAAGTGTTCAAGGTACAGAGTCGGCGAGATGCAGCATATGTGTTGTACTAAGCACAGATTAGCACAATGAGAATTCCCATATGGTTAATCACTCAAGCTTGTCAGAAAATATCCCAAACCTCACATCTAGACGCTCATACCCTAATCTGCTCGACAGGGACAGGCATGATAATTTAGGACCTTTACCCGAAGGGATGAAAAGACTTAGGTGAGTTTAGCATATTTTAGTAGACCTTTAGACCACTTTAATTCTGGCAATCTGATCTAATGTCGGCGGGTAATTAACTAATCACTCATCGTCTTTCACCATATTGGTAGGGGAGATATCGTCTTCAAATGAAACGTTTCAGGCCATAGCGTGACGTAACTACCGAGAGCCATTGTCAATCAAACCTGGCGATAAGCTAAGAATGGCAGGCGATTCCTCGTAACCACAAGGTCATTCGCCGAGTGCCGCCTTCATCGGCCCGTTATCTTCAGCCGTGTAACACCAGACAAGCCATTCTATGTGCACCTTAGACCCTTCCCCGCTTCGAGTTTGCCACATGTTAGAGTTATATAGGCTGACGCTGAAATGATCCGCAGTAGAACACGATAGTCACAAGCGTCATGTCTCATCACATGGAAAATTGAGGCCCTGCTTTGCGTCGCTCAGGTATCACTTTCGCCTTTGGTGACACGCAAGCAGGAGATCTCCCCCTCCCAGGTGATAGTCTGAAATAGCAGTTTGCTGATAGCTGTAGAAAAGTAAAGCATCCAGTTCGTAGAAAGGCACAGCTTGGGTTATGCTTTCCACCCTACAGCCTTACGCTACTTGTTCACCGTATCTTCACCAAGACAGCAAACCTTCAGAGTTTCTTCTAGCTTCCGCTCAACAACCCAGTCAATGGCTCAAACGTCCCCTGCATCAACACAACTCCCTAGCGCCCTTGAACCAGTTTCTTCCAACGAGTATAGCGAGGATGGTTCAGCATCTGGAATTCATCGAGATCTAAATTCACTCCTCGCCTGGGGACCTGGCGACCTCCCCGCCGCAAATTGCAAGACTATCAGGCTCCAGCTGAATTCTACCGAGCTCAGTGAGATACAGGCCGCGCTTGGCGAGTTCAAAGGTGTGCCTTCTTTGGCAATGTAGTTCTGCACTGAAGAATGATTGCTGACGCCGATCGGTATCAGAATCAGGACTTGAAGTTCACGCTTTGTCTCCTGACGTATTTCCCTTGCCATGTTTGGAGGCTCGCCTGCGCGAGTTCTCAAAGGGTTTGCATCAAGGCTACGGTTTCTTCACTATCCGCGGGTTGAAACCGAATAACTTCTCACCCAAAGATAATATCATTATTCAGGTCGGTATCACCTCATATATAGGAGACAGCAGGGCACTGCAGCAAAACTACTACAGCGCCCAGGCAGAAGCGCTTTGTGAGAATTCTTTACAAGTATAGGCCATAATGAAGATGCTGACCTTGTGTCATAGTGCACGTTTGTGATGTCAAACAGTGTGAAAAAAGCATCCAAGAAGACGTATTCCTAGCCCCAGGGAACGAATCTATCGCTGTGGTAAAAACCCGATTCCTTTTTCACTAATTGAAGTATTGTATTTGGCGATGTGCCTAACACTGGGTTAGGGGTTTCACTCTGACAATGGCGACAATGTCTCTCTCTACTGCTGGTCAACAGCAGAACAAGGGGTGACCTTTACTTGTCTAGCGCCTGGAAGGTGTACAACGAGCTGGCACTCAAAAGCCTAGAAGTGTTGAGAATATTTACCCAGCCTTGGCAGTGGCAGGATAGTAGAACGTAAGTCTTGTTAGTTGAGTGACGTATCATCCATGAGCTAATGAAGCAAACCTCGTCAGAGGAGATGAGAAGCTCCGCAGCCATATGGCTCCGATCATCTACTTTGCGGACAACAAACTAGTGATCAACTATCAAAAACGGCCACTCAGAGGGTCCAAGCAAGAGCCCAGAGACCGCCGACTCGATCCTCTTAGCCAAGATCAAGAAGCCGCCCTTGCTGCGTTTGATCGCGTCGCTGCAGGAAATGCCATTTCCCTTGAGCAAGAACCTGGAGACATGCACTTTTTCAACAACCTGGCACTCCTACACTCAAGAAGCGCGTTTTACGACGGGAAAGACCAGGCCGTGCAGCGTCATTTGACTAGGCTCATCTTCCGTGACTCTGAACTTGGGTGGGAGATTCCCCAGAATTTACTTCCGAATTGGAGTAAGTACTACGATCACGCAAAAGAAATAGAACGCTTTCCAGAAGAGCCGCATCCGTGGGCTTTTTCTCTAGAGGGTCATGATTAGTTTGTGGCTACGAATGAAACACACGGCATGCATGTGAAATTTCTCCTTCTGCTTTTGCTAATTGGTGTCGCCTTTTTATCACAAGATTGAATTCGACTGTCCAAAGTTGCCCTCAATATTTGGACCGATGTAGCTATCTGAGACACCCAAATAGGGGGCTCCATTCACTGTGAGCGATCATGTCATGACCATCTCGGCTACCATGGTGATAAGGCTGCGGAGGCTCTCCATTCACTTGATCTCCTAAGGATATCTCTATCTGCCGGGGTTTTGGTCTGGGCACCCCGTCCGGTTTGCCTTATTGTCAAATGATGTCCAGTTACTTATCCAGTGTCGCGATCACGAGACACTCAAACCCGATTACAAGCTGGCAGCATAAGGAGGGACTCTAGATGCTTTGCGACGGCTTTCGGCTGCACAGTAGCATCGTGAGGTCTTATGTTGACTGGCCGGTCTAGATCGTGTTGTAGCCATGATTCCAGAGGGGTTGGTGCGTCCGGCAATGATGTCAAGCGGCTAGCTATGCCTTGTGTAGACGGATCGGAATGGCTAACACCACCGTGTCCAAGATTTGCATCAGCTGACAGTCTTAGCCTCAATACATAGAAATAATATATAATTGCTCCGTCAAGATCACTCACCTGTGGACACTTGTTGGAATATTGTGTGCATCAGTTATAAGTTCCGTCGAAACTAACAGAGAGGTTGACATGAGAACGATAAGGTACGAGGGAATGGCTTGCCTTACTGATACACAGCGTATGGGAGATGGGTGCAGGCATGTAACCTTTATAAGAGAAAAGCTCAAGATAGACACGATAAGTTCTGATACCTAGAAACACAATGGAATCACGCACAGCACGCCGAGTAGCTAAGCGGGGAGTTGCTAGGTTTCGGACAGAAGGATCTATTCCTTCTTCAGACAAGGCCCTATTCCATCGCGATGGAAATTACTAGGCTATCCGGCGAAGCCCTTTGAATACGAATTGCGACAGGCGAACCTTTGTTGCTGACTCTGAACAGGTATAAAACCGGCGGCACTTAATTGGGAATAGCGCCCGCCCTCCGTGGCATCTCCTCCTACTGGAAACGTGCTTCTCACAGCAAAGCCCTCTCTGATCGGTGGTATCGAGCCTACTCCGCGATTCAGGTATTTCGCTTGATATGGCGAATTCGGCCATCACCTTTAATTGAAGAAAATAAGCCTCTTTCAATCATAGCTGGAATGTTCGTTGTAACTCATCTATGTTTTGTACAACAGAAACCCTTGAAAGACGAGACAAGGACAATCCTTAATAGTGAGGTTATTGTAGGTAGAAGGCCAAATGGAATGGTTCCCAATATGCGGGCCTAAGTATTTTGGTATAGTATCTAGTTGTTAAGTTAGGATGCCAGGCTCTGTTTCGTTGAGAATTTACAAGGTTCACACAAACATCATGTCGACTTATTACAATCTCATTCGCCATCATGCACGTGCGTCACAGTTTACCAAGACTAGTCATGTCATGTTTGGGTATCCAAAGTCTCTTTAGGTACTAGAGTAGCGCTATAGGCTGGACCCATGCATCAACATCGCTTGCTAGTCATGCCAATCATCACCAAATAACCATTACATCAACTCAGAGTATCATCAAACAATTAAGGCTTCTTGGTTCCCTCGATCTCAGGGCCAGCAGTGTTGGTGTTGACGGGAGTGACAGCCTCAATACCCTGAAGCTTATCGGTAGTCCTGTCAGGTCCAACAATCTCGAACACTGTTCCATAGTTAGTAATGTTCTATCACTGGAGATTGGAGATAACTTACAGTCAACAGGAGTGGAGGTGAACTTGCGAGCGTTGACCTTCTTCTGGAAGAGGTAGTCAAGATCGGCAAAGCTACGGTTCATGGTCTCAGGCAGGAAGAAGAAGATCCAAACAGCCCAGATGAAGCAGAGACCGAAGTAGAACATTCCAGTCTTGGCTCCCCAGTTCCATGCATCACTGCTGGAGTTGAGCATACGGGGGTTGAGCTGCTGAACAACGATCTGACCGCAGACGTAGACAGCACGACCGATGACGATGGTCTGAGCGCGAACACGGTTGGAGGCAGTCTCGGCAACGACGACGTAGGTGGTAGGGCCAAGAGAGACCTTGAAGATACACTGGACAACTACAAGGAAAGCAGCTGTGACGATAGCGACACTGTCAACCTTGGGAACAAAGCCGAGGATACCAATGATCAACATGCAGGCACCGATACCAGAAGAACCATAGAAGTAAAAGGTTCGGCGTCCGATTCTACCCATAAGGCAGATGGCGACAGCAGTGGCGATGATGTTGACGGACTGGATGATCATGTTGTAGTTGAAAGCCATGGTGTTGCTCATACCAATAGACTTGAGCATGATGGCGGCGAAACTGGTGATGGATTGACCGTTGAGAATCTGGATGACCCAAGCCATGCAGACAATACCAGTTCGGCGAAGGTTAGTTCCTCGGAAGCAGTCCTTGAAGCTAGCAGCCTCAGCCTCAACCTTCTCCATCTCGTTGGTATGCTTCATGAGAGCAAGAGTCTGAGCCATAGACTCATCAGTGTAGTGACCCTTGCGAGCAAGGCGGCGGAGAGCATGCTCAGCAGCCTCGAGCTTACCGCGACGGACGAGGTACCAAGGAGACTCGGGGGCGAAGAAAGCGACAGTGATCAGAGGAGGAATCCACATCCACTGAAGACCGTAGGGCACTCGCCATCCAGCGTCGCCCTTGAGGTCGAGGGAGCCACGGAGGACACCAGTGGCGAGGAAACTTCCGGCTCCCCAGCACATGGAGACCCAGGCTGTGAGGTAGCCACGGAGGGCGGCGGGGCAGATCTCGGCGGCGTAGGCGGTGGTGAGGGTCTGGAAGATACCCCAGGGGATACCGCAGAGGAGGTTACCGACGAGGAGCATTTCGACGTTGACGGCGAAGAAGAGGACGAAGATGGTGCAGGCCATGAGAGACATGGCGAACTACTGAGATTAGCAGGGGTCAAATGAGACGCGGTGAGAAATGTCATACCATGTAAACACGTCGAGAGCCAAATCGTGATTGCAGGTAACCATTGATCAAGAGACCAATGATAGAACCGCAGTTGTTTCCAGCACCAATAGCACCCTGCCATTTTGTAGAGATGTGCTGCTTGCCATTGGCGTCAGGCCAACCGAAACGCTTGAGATAAGCAGGATGGGCGAAGAAGTTGTTGATAAGACCAACATCCATACCCTCCATGACCAAAGCAACACTCAGAAGCATACTGAACGCCACAGCAGGCGCGTATCGCGAGAACAGCTCCTTCTTGGGGAGGAGACACTCCGCATCACTAGCTGCCACGGCGGCCTCGATGAGCTCGACCTGTGAGTTGTAGCCGGAGAACTCAGTGTGGTGCACGGGAGCTTTCTGCCCGTCTTCCACGTGGGAGGTTTCATTCGGAGGCGCCATTGCTTCGAGTCTGTCAGAGGGAAGAATGAAGAAGGGAAGAGATGCAGATCTGGGGAAGGATAAACGATGGGGAGGGAGGAGGAGCAGGATAAATATAAAGAAAGACTCCGCATTTCGTTCTGTGGAAACCAGTCCGATGATCAGGCAGGGATATCTCGGTGGTACTTCCCCACGGGGCACTGGTTCAATCAGTCGTATCTTCCCCGCATTGGTAGTATGAGAGGGCAATGACTTCGCTACTTCGGTGTCGATAACCCGAGGTGACGCGCCATTCCTGATCCAGGATCGAATGTCCAAGTTCCTTGGCAATTCGGCGGAGAGAAATCCGAGTGAGGGCACTGAAATGGCAAGGCTTTATGGGCTCGATTAAGGTTAAGCTGTTATTAACGTTATGGTGTCCCCATGGGGGTTACCCACGCGGACTCGGGGTCCATTTCTGGGGTACGAGATGAGAGGTTTGACAGGTCGAGATGGGTATTTGATCTGCCAAAAGTATTCCATTTCTATTTTATGGGAATCATATTAATGCTTCATACTCTCAAGGATGAATAAACTGTACTGTCTCCTCACTGATGATGCCCTGCATGCTGCATCTCAACAACCCCCCCATTCCCTGGCAATGACTCCTCTGGTAGCTGGCTAAAAGGCCTCGGCTAACCTCCTCCATGCGACAGCGCGGCAAATGCCGTGTCATATCCCATTGGCCGATTCTCCGTGTCTGACTCTCTTGGCCCGCGAGTCTAGACCAGGTTGAGCTCTCAGCTCCCTCGACTGAGTCATGAGACACCATCTCGACTAAAAACAATGGAGAAAATTCGCTGTCAAAGCCGAAAAAACGGTCGATGCTTTTTTTCACCTTATTCTCTCCGCATGACTTGATACGACGCACCGATAGAAAGGTTCGCCGAAGAACTCTCAGCCCAAAGGCTCAGAGAACAGCACGACAAGGATTACGCGTTAACCAATAACAAAGCCTTGATGCCCCCATTCGACGTTGCCCTTTCTGTCGTCAAGGTTGTGTCACTGAAGATTTGCTTCCCCACTGCGGCCAACCCCAAAGTTTGCCCCCGATTTTTCCTGCACAAGCTTATTTTAAACGAGGCCCAAGCGCATAAAATTGAGTCTAGCTTGGCTTATGCAAGCCACGAACAGCATCGTTCGCCTTCTCCTCACAGTCTCTCAGCAAGTTTTTGTCAATGCCGATGTGACTGCCGTTATCAGTGACATTGCAGGTCTAGCTATCGTGACATTGAACCTCGTGAGGATAAAAGATTGTCCAACGGTAATACCAAACCTCGCCTGATGTTACCCAGGTTATTGCGCCCTGAAACTGTCTCGAATGCAACCCTGGCTGATCCTCGGCATCTCGGTCGAGTTCCAAGCGCTCTCCAACCGTTTGGGCCAAGTCCGCGCCGCCTTTTGATGACATGTTGGGGTTGGAGCCCCCAAAGTGTCTCTCGCCTAGCCTTTCCGTCGTTGCATCTGGCATCGCCAAGCAGCCAAACCGAAACCCTATGCTGGATCCGAGGGTTTGGGCCGCGCCTGTGCGTTGACAGCAATGTTTGTCTCAATCAGTACGCGTACGTGAGGCTTTTGGACGGCGATTGTGGTGATGGAAGTCAAGATTGGCTTTGGGGTTCCTGGATCTTGCCCCCGCACTTGGCAGATTGAGATCTTGAGATTTGGAAAACCCTAGAGGTTGCTCGCTCCAGAAAGGACCGAGAGACATGAAAGTAGAAACTCTGGCTCAAACATCAGCTAATTGAATATTGGCATCTTAACTTGAAAGCTGTACAGCAGTGAGGCGTGCCAAACTGTCAGCGACAGGCCGTTGGGTATGAACTACCGCCGAAAGGCGATGCTCGGAGCCGATAGACTAATTTTAAACTTTTTAAGGCTGGCCTGGCGAATGCGCGGCTCTAACAAGGGCCAGAGCCAAATAGGCCCTGGTGTTATATGGTATCCAAAGGCCATTGTATTGATACAAGCTATCAAGTCGAGCATCATGCAAATTTGAGCCTCAAACGATCTTGACAGCTCGGAGTAGCTGCACGATACCGTGGGCCAGGCTATGATTATGGAGAAACGTCGTATTGAACCATCCAGGGCTCCCTGTCCAGTCTTTGAGACGTCTGGCAGTTCTTGAAATAACTAGCTACCATAATAGCAAGCCTAAATAAGTAGAGAAAATCCCATTGTGCAGGGTAGATACCACGACTGGCCACTTGTTCAAACGTAGTGTCTGCTCTTATCCATTCGCCTTTGTGTTCCACAAGAACAATAAAAGTATCTTTCAGTCTTTGTTTATTTAGTAGGCGGCCTGTTACCCGCAATTCCGAAGATCATCGAGTCTGTCCACTTACCCAACGTTCGGCACCCCCTACCCGAAAGATCAACCACCAGATCTCGAACGAACGCACCAAAATCTGTGGAGTTGATCCTTCGCGAAACCAGCTATCCAATAACGATTGATTGGCGTCTAATAGGGCCGAAAAGGTTCATCACTTCCTCTTCACTGCAACGTTTGATGTGACACAGGCTTCCCCGGAGATTCGTGCCACATGCTTCGCTGTCAATTACCCCAGGCTTGCGAGTGAGATCTCTAGATGGAGCGGGGACGTCTCCATGCGACCCAATAGTGGGACATGCCCTGCGGCGTAGTTGGGTGAGAACCAACATGTCAATTGGAAACTTGGTGGAGAATGCGGCACAGTACTCGCTTAACTAGGCAAATTCATTATATGGTCCTCGACCTTGGCTGCACGGTGCTACGTGATCCTCGTGATCACAGCCCGCTATGAATACGGCATCTTGACCCGTCGACTCTCCGTCAATACGCATGGTAATAATGGTTTTTATATCACCCGCGCTTCGCGTTTTGTGTGAACATAGTCTGATAGAAACTTGATTCTCTATGGAGGATCCCCGCGTGTTGCGTGCGGAAGGGAAGCACATTTCGGGATGCGTCACGCGGCAGGGCGCACAATACAACGAGCGGGAGGAATCGAGGGCCTCAAACTTGCAAGTAATGTGAATTGCGCTGCGCTCCCTTTCGACTCGGCGCGTCTGGCAACGCTTACACGTGCCCGCTCTTTTGGAAGGATAAGACACTAGGTGACTTAAATCAGTACTTAAAAAGTTTGTAGTAAGAATTTATCCATACTTCTTAGATCGCGTGATTCGTTCAGGATGCGGGCCCTATTAGCGCGCTCTGCTTTAGATGTCAGTTGCTGTGTTACTGTAGTGTATATTCCTTATACCTAATTCTTTATCATAAGCGGCAAAGCCTAAGAATACCAACCATGTGATTAATATCCAAGCCCATGCAGGCATAATATTATAAATAGATTTGAAACTCAACAATATATGAAAGAGGAGGCTGAGATGTCATAAGCTTTAGCTATTGTCAAAAGAGAAGGAAAAAGATAGGGACCATAGAGAGATTAAATACTTGTATTATAATAAGCTAAGGATTTAGGGCAGAAACTTAGATTGCAGTAGAAAGGTTCGTGTATTCGTTGTACGTGTTGGCTGCCTGAAGTCTAACTAAAATCCTAACTTAATGTTTGAGATTGAAGCCCTGTCACCTCTACACACAGAGTTTAGCCACAAAAGCTTGAGATTGCATTTAGACTCTGATCAAGATGCTGACACCTTGTCCTTTTTCTTCGGCCTTTTTTTCTCATCTCCCTCGACTCCTTCTCATTTCCACTTAACCTTTATATCCGGAGGTATAGAGCAAGATCATAGCTATCACGTACTGCCTTCACGTACCGTCCGGCGTCAGGCGGCTGTACTGTCAACTCGCAACCCATTCCAAGTCACCCCGCTTTAGAAGTAAACATCAAGTCACAACGCGCGGCGGGTTTGAGTATGGTTTGGGATATTCTATCGGCGGAAACCAAGAGGGGCAAGTTTGACCATGATTCTCAAATGGAGAGGCAAATGGGAAGCGAGCCCCTAATCCCAACTCGAGGAATCAGTCTTTCAATGCTTGCACGACTTCAACAAGATAAGACATATTACAGCCGCTCCGAACCCTCGATGCTGCAAAGACTCCCCGATGAGGTCCTATTGATGATCGTCTCCTACATATCGGTCCCAAGGGACGAAGCATCGGTCTTTGCCTTCATCGCCCTCGGTCAGGTCTCTCGCCGATTCCGACGTCTATTACTAGCGGAGGACTTTATTAAACACCCTTTCTCCCGCAGGCGGTGTTGTCAAATGTGTGCAGATGGTTTAAAAGACAAACATACATCTCAAGTCGAGCCAAGTGCCCTCCATTGCTTTCAGTATACGTCCGTTCGAGATGTGATCATGATAGGAGATATCGAGGTCAAGACCGTGGAAAGGCGGAGGCCAGGACCGTTAGGGGATTTCATCAGAAGTTCCATCACCTGCAAAAACTGCCAGGAAAGTCGGGAGGCTAGACTAAAGGTCGGTTACTCAACGACTTGCAAGTTTTCGCCTCGTAATTCTGAAGAGCTCCTTCATTGCCACTCCTGCGAGATGGATCATCCTCCCTTGTGCTTTTCGGAAGACCAAGCGAAGCTACCGAGCGGACGAGTCTGCATTGCAAACGAAGGATATATCCGAATTTGCGATCACAAGAAGCTCAACCGAGCCGATATAAAGCTTCTTCTGCCAAACGAGATGCCCGAAGACACGTTGGTATTCGTGACGAGCTGCGATCATCCAGATCACAAGGTACCATGTAGCGACAACTCCGAGTACACCGATCAGACACCGAGTGTATTTGCCACAAATCCTGGAGGCAGTGGGGTGATGCTACATATCCTATGGCGAGGGCATTCGGGTAGTGATCCATCTACGCTCCACCCAAGTGGCTATCTCCACCGACATAAGCTCAACGACTCACTCAGAAAGATCAGACAGAAAGGAGGACACCTGTACCTACCACAACGTGGCCCCAATACGTTACCTGAATGGAACGCAATATCCGAATTCGATCGCTCCGAGGTATTGCCTTCAGAAGTAGACCTTGTCAGGCTCCGCGGTGGCTGGGGCTTCTTGAATTGTCATCGTCAACATAACCTGGCTCTTCTAGGCCCTGACAGGATAGCATGCGGTCACTGTAAATACGACAAGAGCTGCATTGTTTTCCACTACCATCGGAAGATACACTTCTCAGATTGGGGCTTGAGCTGTGCGCCTCACGACTGGTTTCATGCTATCGACAGGGAGTCATACGTATACAATGGACCTGCCGGCGTGCCTGAGACCTGCAATATCGACGCCTGTCGCAATACCTATGTGGGTAAAGAAGACCACTTTGATCAGTGGCCACAAAAGGTCAATTGGTTCTGTCAAAACGACAGAGACAGGTTTTGGGACAGGACGTGTACATTGGTAGCCCAAGAGAAGCAACTTTGCGGGGATGATAGTAGAGGTATTGGATCAAGGGAAGGCCATGAAACTGGGGAGCTGGAAGAAACTCTGCCCCAGAGAGAACAAGCCACTCGTGCTTTTGAGTCGGGGGCAACGGGAGAATTGAGGACTCCAGCTGATGCCTACATCACAAATCCTCCACATGAGGGGGCCGTCAGACGGAAGATTCAGAAGAAGCGCCCGCCCCAAGAGAAGAATAAGCCTGCTTTGGTTTGTAGGTTTTGGAGACGGCTATGTTGCAATATTGGCCGAGTGGGCAGGCTGAGATCTTAACCAATGGAACCAAACTGTCGTGGGTTCTGGAATCGTCACAAACAGCACTATTATTATAGTCGCAGGTCATGTTGATGCAGAAAAAGCGTAACTAGACATAGTCTCGACAAACTTAGTACTACGTCATAACTGATTGTGCTATCAGCCTCTTGAGACCCCTTGTCTTATTCCTCGGGCTTTTGACCATATACGGTAGTTCTGTAAAGATATGTTAGCCTCAACAAATTACTTTTTGAGTGTATCAAAAACGTACACCAACACGTATGAGTGAAGCTTTGGGTTCAGCAGCTCTTTACGCATCTCCACCAGAAAGACCTGCGCTTTCTCGTACTCCCACTAGAGTTCCATGTTAGTTCATTCACAACATAATAATAAACAGGAAACATACTCCTAAAAGCTCCGTCAGGCTGCGGATAGAAAAGCCCTCCAATCCTTGTAGAAGAAACTGTCGATTCCATGCACCCCACTGCTTGAGATCCTTGTCTTTCGCCCAAGTACCAATAGGCACTTTGACCTTCTTCTCGGTGATGTTCTTCAAGCCAGCCTTCTCGAATTCCTCGGCGGGGTTCCAGAAGAACGGGTTGCCGACCTTTTCTGCTACTTGATTAAAGATCTTGACCCAAGTTTTGAGCGGAGATTCGGGGCTCATGGTGTCATCGTCGGCTCTGGCGTCTCCCCAGAGTTCAACATGCTCGATCCAGCCACCTGGCTTGAGATGCCTGTATCATGTTAGAGAATGACCTGTAACGATGGCACGGAGTACGTGGTCTACCTTTGGGCCTTCTTGAGAAGTTCAGTCCAATCTGGGACCGTTCCTGTCATGTAGCGAATGTGAATAAAGTCAAATTTGTTTTCGGGAAATGTCCATTCTTTGTTGATATCATCAACTTCGAATCTGCAGTTGGGCGGGATGAAGTTTGGTTGGATGGGTGAGAGATCAACACCAATGACTTCAGCCGATGGGTGAAGGTCTGCCATGTCACTGGTACCATTAGTGTACATGAAGTACTGTCGTAGTATGATGGTCACTCACATGGCCCAAATACCAGTGCCGCAGCCGACATCAAGTACATTCTACAAGAATTAGTCAATGGGATGGAACTGGGTAGGTAGCGACAAACTTGCGGATTCTTGCCGATCGGAGCTTCGTATAGCTTGCCGTCGAGGACTGCCCGAAACAACTCATGACTAAGTTTCATTAGAAAGAATGAGAGCAAAACCATTCAAAGGCAAGACTTGCATTAAATCTTCAGCCTCTTGCTGACGATCGTCATTCGCTCCCCTAATTTTATGAGTACTCATCTTAAACAGCTTGTGGATTCTGAGGTCTCACCAATAGGTTCCATCGCCATATGCATGGAAGCGTCTACCATGAACCCACTTGTAGTTCAAAATAGAAGAACGCAGGGACTCGGTATCACTGACATCCGTTCTGGGCCATATTAGCGAAGCCTACCCCGGTGTCAGTGCATGCCATCTTACGCCAAAGAATACGCAGAGTCAGAATCAGTATCCTGAAAGAGTACATCAGCAGGGTAGTTGAAACTACACAAAAGGTTATGAACTGACGGGCTGAATGAATTCATCTCGCGCGGGGGTTTCAGCAGCCTCAGGCGGAGACTGAGGAGACTTGTCGGGAGATTTTGGCGAAGACATCGTGAGGATAAGCGAAAAAGGCCAAGAGATATGACAGGTGAGAAACTGTTGGTCTCAGGCTGACTGCATGCAGAAAGGTAAAATGGTTTGTGACAGAAGAAAACTCAGATGGCGGTCAAATTATTTATCTCGCATTGCCTGACTCCCCCACCTATTTCATGCATGGGTGAAGTGTTCTGTGGGGAGGAGGTGACATTGTGAATGGGCCATGAGAGTTTCGATGCAACATGAAGATCTTAACCATTTTAATCACTAACCCCATATTTTCATCTTTACCTCGATATTCACAGAGAGTATACTGATGGAGATTGACAGATGGTGGTTCTACCTTTGAATAGAGTCTTATTAGCTGCCTGAACCAAATCTGAGATGGCGGTTCAAAGCAAATTGGTACTGACTCAGTAGATGTGAGCGACTTGATGTAGTCGCGCAACAAAAGTAATAACTCATGGCCACGATCTTTGGCGGTCGAATTAAAGACTGCCTAAACATTTTGTTTTGGCCATATGAATGAGGCTTGCACCCGAGGCAAAGTTGTCAAAGCTGGAGCCTAGCGCCAGAAGAGTGAGCATTACCGCTGAATCTTTGGTTCAAGCTGGATCTATAAAGATTGTTAGTAGTTGAATTGTAGGAAATGCTTCCAAGATCACCTGCATTACTATTGTCAAATAATATTTTTGGGTCTGAAACGCTTCATTTACTGGATATGGCTTTATCGGAGTTCCCAGTCTGATGACTGACCGCTCCAGAAGAATGGCCGTCGTCATCTGTGGATAGTTGATTAGTATATATACCTAGATTCAGACGAGTAAGGATACTTACCCGATTCATCGTCATTGCCATCATCATCATCTTCTTCGTCGGAGTCCCAATCCTCGTCATCTGTTTCTAGATCAAGATTCCAGTGATCTTCTGCTGGTTAGCACTTGTCCCCAAGATGGAATTGCTTGCATACCCATGTTGTGGACCTCTTCTACAAACTCATTGAAGATGCCATCGTGGTAGCTGCTGAGGATGCCGAGTCCGACGACCAAGATATAGATTATAGCGAATGCTAAAGCCATGATAAAGTGGTGGGGCTGTTCAGAGCTGAGTGATGTAGTTGCTGGGATGTTGATGTACTGTAAAAGCTGGGGGAGAAAAATAAGAAAGAATAAAATGAAGCGCGTGTGAGGCGCGTGATGTGAACCATCAGCTGTGGGTACTATCAACTCAAAATAACACTCTTGGAAAGTTAGTTCAAGCAGTATACCAGCTACCCGACACAATCGCCCAAAGAATAGAATGATACATCACAGAGGGGGGAATAGATGTCCAGGAAGATAGAGCTTCGGTTAAGTTCCACGTGTGAAAGGACAGTTAGTGTCCGATGAGGACACAAATTTCAGCAAATGGATGTCCTTGGAAGGGCCTCATTGGCAAAGCCACAATTCATTTATGAGGCTTTCCCACGAGATACCGGTCATCTGATGGCTCACATCACGCGCCTCGTACGTAGCCATTTCACGTAGCAAACCTCGGCTTAAGTTTCAATTTACTTGTATCTAATGGACGTTGTCTGTCAATAGCCATCTGTACCAATGGTAATGAAAACTTTGTGCCTTAAGCTGTTAGAATCACCGTGCACAATTTCAAGTTTGAAGTACAACCCACTCATGTGACTTCACCAATTTTGAGCGATTGTGTGGGGAGTCAGTGTGAATGGAGTCAATATTAGCCACCAGCGCTTAATCTAGGGTCTCCGCCCTGCACAATTTAATCCAGCAGTCAGAATGCTGCCTGAAATATGTTTGTGAGAGCGCTGCTTTTAGTCGAAAGCCCTGATACTTTGTGCCTGCATCGCGTATTTGATAAGCTCAGACATGACCAAAACATCATCCCGAAAGTTCTACGCTGGATTCATATCAGAACGCGACAGAAACACGTAACGGCGCAGCCCTCTCACAACGTGAAAAAGCAATGAGAACGAAATGTATAAATGGACGAGCGACATTGTAGCCAAGGATCCAACAAAGAATTTCTTCAGCAGTGCTCTTGTCAAGAACTCCCCCGGAAGTATCGATGACTTTCGCACGTTCAATTGCCAGAGATGAAGAATGGAAGCTACTGTACCAATATCCAAGATCGGGATCGGCTTAAGACTCTAGAGGCGCTGCTATCGATTCTGTAGAGTGGTGTTTCGAGATACCGCATGACTGAAGACGAGATACTGCTCCGTCTGTGACAAAGGCTGAGGATGAGATGCGAAAGCTTGGGGATTAGCAATGGACATATTTCTGCTGTTCTGTTCAAGCGATACTCGGCGTAAGTATTAAATCTCAAACTAACACTGTGCAGCATCAATGGAAATTCATCTGTTCTTGCGTTCTGGCTCCTAGCTCGATGTCTTTGCACCCCTCATCTCATGGAGGACATCCAAAGAGAGGTCGCCCCGGCTCCTAAGAAGGGTATTCACCACCAACCTGACGTAGAAAAACTAAAAGAATGTCCAAAGCTGAACGCGACATACTACGAGACAACGGCACTCCACAGCGGCTCATCCGGCTTTCGGCGTCTCGTCCAAGACACTCAGACAATAATCGCTGGCCCCCGGCTCGGAAATAGCAACGATGTAAGAACGCCTTATCGACAACTCCATCTTGATAAGAAATACTGGGCAGTGATATTGGAAGGTTCATTGACAACCCGAAGTTATACTCAGCGAGAGAGTACAACCTATGCGGTAGAGGTACGACATTATGTCCTGGGACGACTCTCAGCGCGGCTTCGGTTTATCTCGCGACCCTTGTCACTCGGTATGAGATACAGCCTATTGGGCGTTGGAAGAGTCAGCCGTTTCCGGAATCGAATGATAAAATGCAGACGCTGGGTATCATCTCTCCGAAACCGGGGTATGATGTTAAGATCTCGGTGAGATATGCTGGAGCGGACTAACAGCCAGGCACTGGAGGTTCTTTATCAAAGTTGCCACGTTCAGACCACTATTAAATCACATATCTTCTCAATGTAACGCTGAGCAGCAGCATCCAGACCGAGCCGAACCAGAGCACCTACCACTTCTCACAGGGGCCCTGCTCAAAGTCTCCAATGAATATGCTTAATCAGTTTAAGAAGCGGCTGAATGCAACATCGTCAACCCCTACTTTTCAGCTTTGCCTACCCCTGTAACTATGGCGTATCTTGGCACCTCGACTATCACTTCCCAACGAATCAGCATAAGCGACAGACGAGCTGGCGTCAATATTGGCTGCGTCCAGACCCTGCCCTTGGGAGAAATGATCATATGCCGCGATATGCACAGGCGTTTTGTTCGCAGGGCTGAATGGGCAAGTTGAGCTAAGCCCTTGGAGTTGCGAGACTTATAAAGACATTTAAAACCAACGACTTGTTCAACAAAGCCGCATTCTGTGAAACGTTACTCACGTCCAATTTCTCACTGTCAAAATGGTTTACGGCGATGAAAATGCACCTAATTGTCAAGTCCCTACTGGACTCAGCTCGCTCCCTCGCAAAGACTGCAATGCCACTATTCTCATCCTCCTACCTTTCATCGTCAATCATCTCTCCGCGATAGTCACGCACCTGACCCTCGGCAATCGCAAAGCAAGAAATAAGCTCAAGTTCTGGGATTATAACCATCTCAACGGATCACCGAAAGAAGCTCTATCATGGACGCCGTACAACACCTTGGCGACCATTGCCATGACGGTTGTGCAATGCGTCGTTAGCGCCGTGGCTGTTAAAGCATCCGGGCTGAATGTCAGTATCGGACCTCTCATCATGTTTTACTTGACCAAGCCTCGTGTTGGGTGGGTTGTTGTCATGTTATCGGCTTGCTTCTACAAGCCTCTCACCGATACAGCCACCGATGTACTCTTCCAAGACTGTGTGCTGGGAGTCTTGGCACTTCCTGGTGCGCTCATGTTCTTGAGAGTCAGCGGTTTTGGGGAGATGCCCGACGGCTGTGGCGAAAATGATTTCTTCTTCGACGACAATAATGACTATGGTACAAATATGGATGCTTATGGTACAAACGTTGACGCCAATCTCTTCCTGCGCAGTGGCTCAAGCAGCCTTGTCGCATGTGGTGCGATCCTCTTGTTTGTTGGCATATCCATGCTTTGGAAACGTCGCTTTCTCAAGAGACGTCTCGGTCTTTTGGCGATGATTCCTTGCACGGGCGCTTTCGTGTCTGCTTGGGTCCTCTGGATCGGTGAGACTGCCAATCATGCTGCAGTGATTGAATACTAATGAGCTTAAAAGGTTTTGACTATGCTGTCATGAATGGAGACTTTTGCATTTCCGGATCGGCTATAGGAACTGTGTCAGCTATATCTATCATTTTCCCAATTCTGAACGGTCTTTTGCGTGGCTGGATTGGATATCCTGGTGGAGGCTACTATCCGTACTAAGTTGTCGCTTTTATCTTGAGATTACTCTTACGCAATCGAGCTTCTTTATTCATCAGTTATTGCAAGATCGGAACCCTGTGCCCTTTTTGCTGAACACAGGTATTTGTGACTGGCTACGTCACGCGAGCTGAGAAACTTGCTTATGAAAACTTGGCTGTAGCTGCATATAAGCATAATTTCTAATCTCTTATCTCTCTGCACAACTCAACGCATCTTGAGACTCTCATTGGGCGTCGCTTGTGCAACTCAAGTGAGACATTGCCTCGTGATCGACAGCGCATCAAGATGAGGGGGTTCAGATCTCCCAGTTTTCATTCTCTTTCCCGTGCTACATCGCGATCCTCCACTTCACAAAACTCGGCTTGAAGTGTTGGTATTACAGCGTGACTTCCTCGCGTAAACCTTGGCGGTAGGGACTTTTTCGCCGTAGCGGCCATCGCTGAGTTTTCACCCGACGGTGAAGCATCCGTTGTCTCTCGTATCACAAACCGACAAAATGTCGCGTGCCTCATCAAGCACAGCTAGCAATGGCGATGCCCTCGAGCTAGAAGCCGCTGGCTACGTGCAAGCCATGCCGCGTCGCTTCTCGCTCTGGTCCCTAGGCGCACTGTCTTTCACCTTGACCTGTACATGGCTCGGAACAGGCTCTTCAATCGGAATTAGCTTAACCGAGGCGTCTTCAGCTGGGACCTTGTGGTCGTTACCTATTGCTGGCGTGATGACTACCATCGTATCGCTGGGTATGGCTGAGCTTGCATCGGCGTATCCTGTTGCCGGAGCGCAGTACTATTGGTCTTTCATGGTTGCGCGGGATGACTACAAACCTTTCGCATCATATCTGTCAGTACCAAGACTTACTCATACGTTGAGATACTGACTTGTTTAACAGAAATGGGTGGATGAGTGTTATCGGCTGGTGGCTTGCTTCAAGCTCAGTCTCCAACTTCGTCTCATCCATGATCCTCGATATCGTCGGCGCATGGCATCCAGACTGGGATCAAAAGCGATGGCACCAATATCTGATATACGTCGCCCTAATATGGATCGCCACAGCCGCCAATATTTTCACGGCGCAGTGGATTCCTCTTTTCAACAAGATGGTCTTCATCTTATCTGTCATCACTCTCAGCGCGACTACGATAACGCTCTTTGTCGTAACGAAAGACCATTCGTCAGCTGAGTTTATCTTTACCGATACTACCAACAGGACCGGCTGGTCAAGTGACGGATTTGCATTCATGCTGGCAGTGGGTAATGCTGTTTATGCATTTCTAGGAAGTGATTGTGGAGCTCATCTTTGCGAAGAGATACCCAATCCAGCCAAGAATGTGCCTAAGGTGATGATATATCCATTACTCATGGGCTTACTAACCGCGTTCCCCTTTGCAACGGCTCTCATGTATGCGATCTCTGATCTGCCAGCGGTACTTAACACGACGACTGGGTTGCCACTGTTTGAGATTTACTATCAGGGCACTGGGTCTCGCCCGGCCGCATCAGTGCTGATGTCACTGTTTGCGTTTTGTTTCTTCGCCAATCTTGTCGCCAATGGTAAGCTTACCACCGCGAAAAGGTCTGTGCTAACTCTATAGCGACAACATCGTCACGAACGCTCTGGGCTGTTTCGCGTGACGGTGCCTTGCCATACTCACAATTTTGGGGCCGAGTTCATTCAAGGTTTCAAGTTCCTGTCAACGCGCTTCTTCTTTCTGCTGTCTTCATTACTGTTAGTACATATCTACCAACTATGTCCTTTCCATCTCACTCACCTCATCTTTTAGCTATACGGTCTCATATTCCTGGGCTCATCAACCGCATTCTCTGCCATGGTCAGCGCAGCCATCATCTTTCTCCAAACTTCATGCGTCATTCCCCAAGCTGTTCTTCTTTACCGAGGGCGTGATCGTGTACTGCCCCTTCGGTACTTCAGTCTTGGTAGATACGGCGCTGCCATCAATGGTATCTCAGTCGCATGGGTAGTATTTCTCGACATCCTGTACTGTTTCCCGACCACCATGCCAGTCACGCCTGAGAACATGAGCTATGTCTCGGTCGTCTTCACCGGACTGGTCGCGTTTGTCATAGTCCTCTGGTTTACAACTAAAAAGGGCTCCTTCACGGGACCTCAGATCAATTTGGATCTTCTAAACGCTCGACGGATGGCGGCTGTTCAGACACTAGAAGGTACTCGCCCGACGGCTGAATACCACGCACTTCGAAGCTCAGATATCGTGAAGGAGGATTAGGCTCCGTGGTAGCATTTCCCCGTATCGTGGACTTCCAACGATGGCACGAAAAGAATGGCTGACCCAATGTTGAACGTTGCGATCTGACGCTGGCGACACACGTGTATCATCTTATTGGCTTAGGGTCCATAAGTGCTGTTATATATCTATTCACTACGAGGTTAATTGCAGCTCTAAGGATCGTTTTTCACGAACTAGCCTGCGGCTGAATAGAAGCTTACTCTCAATACAACGTAGCATACCAAAAAAACTCGCACTGCCTTCCCAACCAGGCAATCCCCGACCTTGGTGGGGTCACAACCGTAGCATTATTCTTTTCACACCGCAAAAGCCACTCTAACTCCACATCGTGAAAGAATTCCCCGGGCCCTCGGGTGTCAGCCTTAGGCCTCATAGGGCTCTGATGATACGACTTTTCAAGTCATCCGAGATGCGGAAATATTTGACCGATCCACCTGTGCCGCTCTGTGCCTCATGCCAAGACGTTCGGTTATTTCTACAAACGAACCAGCCTCACCTTGGCCATGGTCGTTATTGGTGAGAAAGTGATTTTCAGGGGACTTTTTGCGGTGCCGGCGGCAGCAGCCTAATTTGCCCTGCATTAGTGTTGTAAAAATGGGATGGCTATGGTCTTTGAGAGATAATTTTATGCTCGGCGAGCTTGAATCGGAGGATGATACTCAGGATAAAAATCTATATTAAGCAGAGAAGTTTCCGTGGTCAGTAGATAATTGCTCAAGCTCATTCAGTCATTCAAGGAACAAGCATACAACGAGTTCAATATCAATACCTAACCGTCACAATGAAGTTCACTACCATGGCAACGCTTCTCTCCGCCAGCGCAGGTGCCCTCGCCGCCAGTCCCAGCGCTACAGCCAAGAAGGCCACAGCCATTGAGTCCATCAAGGGCGACAACGGCATCACAACTCCCCTCCCCATCCAGCCTGGCATGGTCGACAACTGCGACGTCTTCTACTATGTCAAACCCGGCGACAACTGCCTCCAGATCTCCGCCCAGTTCGGCATCTCCTTTGATCAATTCAAGGAATGGAACCCCACCGTCGGCAATGAGTGCCTCAGCCTCTGGGCCGATGCTAACGTGTGTGTTCGCACCATTGGCTTTGAGTACCCCGAGATTGCTGCTTGTTACGGCGGCTTGAATATTCTTCCTTGGGAAAGTAACAAGGTTGCTGCTGCGAAGGCTGCTACTGAGTGGTGCAGTAATGGTGCGCAAGGCATTTACAACATTGGTGAGAAGAGGACCAAGTGCGTTGACGCGCCGTCGGGTGATGGCAAGTTCGTCTTTGAGATCTACAATGAGTGGGGAATTCGACAGGCTCTTCGCTCAACGGAGTGTCAACGATATCTTACACTTCCCATTTCCAAGTGCCCTGAGGGAGGTCAGGGACGTATGAAGAGCTGGCACACAGAGTAAGTCTCCCGCTGACATTTACAAGTATGAGCTATGCTAACTCCTTACAGGACCACTCTCAAGAAGGGCAAGTGTTAAATCTTGGACGGCCATTCTTGGTTGCCGATTGCTTCAAAGGACCGCGTTCCTCTCGCAGCCTTTGAGACAAGGCAGTGATGATCTGCCGGCCGTATCTATTGGACTGACGATATCAACTTCATAGTATATAATACGATATCTTTGATTATCTTCCAAACATAGTGCCACTTTCTTCCCTGCGTGACACTGTGCGTAATCACAGCTTTATCCATAGGTTGAATATTACACTCTTCATCAATTGGCTAGCTACCGAATGCAACTACTGGTATTCGTCAGCCGCAATATTTGGAATCATTCAGATAGCGGCCTGATGTCGGCTCACTAACATATCGCGTTGAGGTGGAAAGGAAGCGTGGCTTTGATAAAGTACTTGAGATACCCGTTGAGATAAGCCCTTCGCGGCTTAGTCCAGGGAAGGTCCAGCCGAACGCGGGGCAAATTATCAGCTGTTGTCTGACATCGATATTCCGTCATGAGCGATACCATCATCATCTTAAGATCGACCTCGACGTTACTACTTTTAGAAGGTCGGTTGCACATTTCCGAATCCGCTATGCCGCTATCCGTGTCTTTTCGCATCTCCACCGCGCTATTACGTGACAATGGCCATCTTCAAAGTGGACTACGCTCACGAGACACTAGTCAATCCCGAAGGATTAGACTCCATCACCGATCCGGGGTAAAGATGGAGACTAACGCCGCCCTTTATATTGACTAGTCGTTACCCCAGATTCTAGATAGGCGCTTTTCGGCGACTATCAGATGTGGCTGTTATCAGGCGATTTGCCTCTCTCGCTTGGACCTTCACGGTCGTATCCGAGTTGCTATCAACAACCAACGAACTGATAAGCCACGTCGGAATGAATCATCCGGAGATTGCAGCCAACAAATACCAGGGCCGAAGCATATAAATCACCCGCTTGGCGCCTTGGATTCGTCTTCATCGAGAAACAGCCAGAGATCATCTGCGCACTCATAATCCTAATCATGGCTCTGCAGATCAATCGTGAAGCTGTTCCAGGAACTGAACAACTCATTGACGGTATGCAAGTATATTCGTTCTGGCCTTAAAAAAAAGCTAATAAGAGTCAAAGTCAATCACAAGCTAGATAACAGCGATCATGTCGGACAGTCTGACATTGTTCTAATTCCGCAGCCAACGGGCTGTGGAAGCGATCCGCTCGTGAGACTCGTTGGGGGCTTTCCCCCACTGTATTACTGACGATTGTCTAGACATGGACGAAGCGAAAGAAATACTACCAATTGCTTCTAGTAGCGCTCTACGCTTGTGCCTTTTCATTCGGGGAAAACACTCTTGGAGGTTAGTGTCGGGAACATCTCCTCATCTGTCAATACTGATCACACAACAGCGGCTTGGACTAAAGTCAGCAAAGACACAGGTGTCTCTTTGACAAACATGAACGGTGGCAGCGCCTTAAACTATCTGCTTCTGGTATGTTACATCACGCCCATCCCTAATCCTGCTACTTACCAGATCAAGGGCTTCGTCAATATTTGGTGGATGCCCACTGCCAACATCCTAGGCCGAAAGCTAGTCTTCCTGGCGACAACATGTCTCTGTCTTGCCACCGGCTTTTGGCTCGCTTCCATTGAAGGGACAGTTCAATGGATGCTTAACATGATCGTCAATGGAATTGGAACGTCTGCTTATCAAGCCATCATACAACTTACTGTAGGTCCTTGAACAGTATCCAGCTCTCACAACACTACTGAGTCTATTTATAGATCTTCGACATGTTCTTTGTTCACGAACGTGGTCGCATGTTGTCGGTTTATCTCTTTGCCCAGCAGCTTGGCTCTATGTAAGGCCGTAACCAACATCTGTAGGGACTTTATACTGACCTCATGGCAGCCTGGGCCTCATCTCTGGTGGCAGCATGTCTGACACCGTCGGGTGGAGGTGGTCACAGAATATAGTTGGCTTCATCTTCGCGTTCGTGCTGATAGCATTCATCTTCTCATTTGAGGAGACTTTGTTCCCTCGCTTCCTATTTGCTGGATTGCAGTCCGCTCCTCTTCCCTCCCAGAAGGATGAAGAGACAGCGGAGGAATCTACTGCAGGAAAGAAGCTGGAGCTCAGACCAATTACAAGCCAGGCCAACGGTATTGTCGATGACTTTCCCAAGCGATCTTACAGACAGATCTTGAAACCATTGGTGAGGTATCCTCAGAACAAAACAACTTTCTGGCAATATTTTCGCCGTCCCTTCTTTCTCTGGGGCTTTCCCAACGTCGTCACCGTAAGCATTTCCGTCAATTCCTCACTGCCCTTCGCTGACAAACAAACCTAGGCTGCGTTTATCTATGCCTTCGGGGCCACCGCCGGAATCGTCTCCTTCAACACCATCTCCGAGATCCTTACGGAACCGCCTTACAACTTTAGCACCACCAACACTGGTCTTGTGTTCTTTGCCGCTTTGGTGGGAGACATCATCGGTTGGGGTATCGGTGTACTAAGCGATCAAGTCGTCATTGCTTTGGCTCGAAGGAATGGCGGTGTCAGAGAACCTGAGATGCGACTCTACACACTCATTCCTTGCTTCCTCTTCGCTGCGGTTGGGTACATGCTCTATGGCTGGGGTGCTCAGACGGAAGCACATTGGATCACCATTGCCATCGGTATCGGCGCCATGATCTCACATCAGGTTGGAGCTTGCACGATTGCCACTGCATATGCAATGGACTGCTTCCCAGGAGTAAGTCTTTTAAGCGATACCGTATCCAGAAGAAGATTAACGGTGCCAGATATCTGGAGAGCTAGTGGTTGTACTGGCTATGTGCTCCTCAATGGTCAATTTCGCTATTTCGTACTCTGTCCAGCCGTTTATTGAAGCCGCCGGCTATGGTTGGACCATGACTTGCTTTGGGATTATGGTCTTACTGTCGGTTCTTGCTGCTATTCCTCTCGTTGTTTTTGGGAAGAGATGGAGAATCGCCAAAGCGCCGAGATACTACAAGTTCTTGGACGAGGTTGGGGGCTATACAGACTAGCACGGTTCTAGATCTGAACTTACAGCCAGTTCGATCCCAAGTTACCAAGGGTATTAGCCAATTTTATCCCCACATTTGGAAGCGATAACTAGTTACGCAAAGGTTCAAGTATATTCTTAATAAACATAGTTGAATTTTTCACTGAATAGAAACTAAAGGCTGTGGTTTTCTTCAACCGTACGAAAAAAGAGAATTGGTGAATCTTACTACTAAATCCCTTTTATATATTAAATTGACATAAGACCCTGTGCTGATAGTTCTTGGCCCCTATGGCCAAAGTATCGGCATTCTTGAGGAAGTCCTGAATGTGTAAGAAGATCCCTCGTCGTTGGTAGAGGGTTATAATCTGTCTACCCGTAATATCATTCCTTGCCATGCTGATCAGAGAGGAACCAAGGCGAGCCCTGAGTAGGTAGCAGTTTGAATCTCCCAGCGAGTGAGCAGTTAGCAGCCTGGGAAGCTCCCTTTTTGAGACCTCGGGCGCTCTCAGACGCAGGTTCTGGCTTAGCATCAGCTGGCGATGGTGTTCGGAGCGCAAGAAGGACAGTTGGTAAAGTGAGTAGCGGCTGACTGGTCAGCGGCAAGCTCATGCCGAGGACTTGAGCAGGACAAATTTGGAGATTAAGTTTTTGGTAAAACTGTTGTCTGTTCATGTGAGCATTAAATTACCTGTGAAAAGTTCCTTTTTATTCTTGTTCGCTTGCAACAAGACTACAGCTGAAAACCACTGACTATCATGCTTTTTCGTATGTCTGATGAATGTGCAAATGACGTGTTGGTTGATCCCTTAAGAGACTTGTTTTGCTGTCTTAACCATTTAATAGGACTGAATGTCGAATTAGAAGTGAATGGTAGAGGTTGCTGTGGCTGATAGAGCTGTTCCTTGAGGTTATGTGGAGTGAATCGACCTGTTAGATAGCGTGCTGTTAGGATCAGGATCTAGTGTTTGCAGCATGTTGCCAGGCTCAAGTTCGTGATGGGTCACGTGGCTTATCTGGCTACGATGTCTTGGTCGATCTATGAATGGAGAAGCAAGTTGGGGCAATCAAATGCCCCTAGTTGCTTGAGGACAAGACGCTGACCCTCTGTAGTTTGTTTTATATCGCTGGAGAACGCTGTTGAGAACCTTGAATAAGTAAGGGGTTACTGTGCTAGGCCAGTGAAGTTCTTGATGATTTACGTCCTCCTGTTGATTGAAAGTGCCAATGCTCATATCAACAGTCGCTCCTCTTCCTCTTCAGTGCTGGCACTGGCAGCATCTGTCAGCCATATGATGATATCAGTCACTGCCGCTCTGACACTGGCACTTTGAATCCTCATCTTCGAATGACAGTGAAAGCTTGGGATTGCTACTTTATATTGATTTTGAGCTTCTAGGATTCTCTTTACCTTTTCCGTTCTTCTCAACCAACAGTTTACTTTCCCTTCTATCAACAACTGACCACCCCACTATACATCATACTCTCTAATCAACCCTTGATCTACTTTCAATCGGTAGAGCTTACTGCGCCAACCGCAATCATGTGTACTGTATACCATATCACACTGTACTGCAGCCGATGTGGTGCGCATACCGGAAACCATGATGAGTTCCAAATATGCCAGCAACGTCGTAGCGATGGCAACGGACCCCATCCACACCCTGATGTAGAATACTTCAATTACAACACCGCCTGGACCAACTGCCAGGCATGCATGACTGAATACGAACTGTATCAATACTGTCTCCGCCAGGGCCTCCCGTAACCGACTCCTGATCCCCCTTTCAACTAAGGGACTCGACGACTGGTGAAATTGGAGAGCGGAGAGCTGGCAAGAACTTGGGCTTCCATACCAAGTAGAAGCTCCATATCATCACACCAATAACAGTGGGCTGGTGGTTTGGCGGCTCGAATACCTCGCCTATTCCAAAAATCGATATGCAGATAAGAAATTGTGACGAAAAAAGACCCAATCACACGAGTGACAATATGCGTGCCTTGCGAAATTCATAATGGAATTCGATCATGACCCTAACGACAACAAGAAACCACCTTTCATAAGTGTAAAGCACTATTGGCTTGTACCACCACGACGACCATACGCGTTGCGCCCTGTATTATGTTCAAGAGGAAGCAAACTGCAGACTGACTGATGTCAAGCCCACATCACAAGACAAAATCACAAAATGGAAGCCATCCTGTGGCTGTAACTCGACGCCTGAAGCAAATAGACATCAATTACAGCTGGTTTCAAGCACTATTCAGTGTGTAGAAGATGGTATATATACTGGCAAATTTACCCTTTACTAGTGAAAAAATTGGTAGAGCCAGAGTAGAACATCTCCATCTACTATATTACTCATTGGAATATTATATATGTACAGAACGAATAATACATATGTGCTTCCGTTACGCACTCAGTGCATGATACTAAAACGCCATCATCAAACCGATGACTCCAACAATCCAAGTCCAAACAATAAGATCTTCCTTATTGGCACCGGAAGTAATAACCGATATGGATGGTGCCTCTGCGGGCTGAGAAGGGTACTTACCATGTGTCGACTTGGTGGTCTGTCCTTCACCGGTAGCAGCTCCTTTAGTGGCGAGAGTCGTTGGGGCGGCCTCTTGACCATTGCTAGGTGCAGACGCCAAAGGGAGTACTACGACACCAGATTTGGATGCAGAGAAGATTGGCTGAGCAGGAGGATGGTAGGTTCCATTATTGTGGGTTTGTGCTGGTGCGCCATGAACGGACACATACGGCTTCCCGTTCTCATATCGAGGCTGTGGCTTGCTGGAGACAGAGGAATGGCCGTTCTCATGACCTGGTTGCACGTAGCTGTGTGATCCTTGCGTTAAGTGAACGTTGCCAAGGCCAGTCGCGTATCCGTGGGTACCGCTTGGGGTCTCGCAAGCAGCTGCGGGCATCGTAAGAGTAACGGTATTCTCCCCATGAGATCCACAGGTATTCCATGGCATGGTAGTTGTAGTCATCTCGACTACTGGATAAGTCGGGTGATCGCAGCCATAAGGCTCATATGTGATAATAACAGGGAAGCAAGTTGTGGTCAAAGACGCTGGGTTGGTGGGATAGACGGTAACGTATGTAATAGTCGTGACTGTCCAGGTAGGAATGACTCTTGTGTAAGAGACAGGCTTGGTGTAGACAGGGATGGAGATTGAACTAGTGAGGGGGTCGGCAGCTGGCTCTTGGTAATCTTGATGGCCTCAGTACCTTTGGTCGCCTCAGTAGCTTTAGTGGACTCGGTAGCCTTGGTGCTCTCAGTGACCTTGGTGCTCTCGATGGACTTGGTAGTCTCAGTAGTCTTGGCGGTCTCGGTGTTAGTGGATTGACCAGCCGAGAGAGCTAACGTCTGTAGTCATGGAGGATGATGATCTAGATCGGCTGGCGAATGAGCTCAACTCGGATGTTGCTGGGTTGTCGCAGTGCTCAGAGAGGAAGTGGCAGTAGAAACAGATGCCAGCCTAGACTCTGACTGGGTTTCGATAGAGCTTGACTCGGATGTCGTTGTTAAGACGGGCGTCGTTGTAGAGGTGGACTGAGTAGTGGTTTCATCATCGCAATCATCTCTCTCTGGTGTACTGCTGGAGCTGGAGGCTTTCGTTGTAGAGTCAACGGCGGTAGTACCGGTGGATGAGGTGTCCGTAGTAGTGGAAAGTACAGTTGATTGAAGAGAGGATGCCACTTCTGTCTATGTAGACTCTACTGTATAAGACGTTTCGGAGGATCCTATCGATGTAGAATGTTCACCAGAGGTAGTAGCCTCTGCTGATGTATTGGCTTCCGCGGAAGTAGTCGCCTCGGCGGAGATAGTCACTTCAGCAGAGGTTGTTGCTTCAGTAGATGTAGTAGCCTCGGCGGATGTCGTCGCTTGGCAGATGTAGTCAGTTCCACTGACGTGGTAGGCTCCAAAGTCGTTGTAAACCTGGGCTGGAGCTTGCCTGATTCCCAGATCGCAAGCAGGGTTAGATCTCTGCCCACCAGCCATGAGCTATACAGGTTACAATCGCTGAAACCTGGGTTTCATGCTACAGCAGCGCAAACGGTATTCCTCGCGCAAGCATCCAAGCATGGATCGAAGCTCAGTATTCGAATGAAGGATAGAGGAATTGCGGCATTCGGTGTAAATCCACAATAAGTAGCAAACCGAGCGTTGCTAGAAGAGCTGAGGTAGGTGCCGGCTGTTTGAGCGCAGGTTAATGATCTGACATCTAGTGGATTGGCGGGAGAGGTCGCTGCCGGAGCAATGAGCGAGGCACCGAGTGCCAACAGGATCTGTCATAGATACATGTTGGAGAGCCTGATAGTGAACAAGAATACAGAGAGAGTTACTGAGGACTATCACTGCCACGGACGCCACAGATCTTATATGAGATCGATGACCTTTGCGACTAACAGATTATTTCTCGGATTTAGTAAAACAGTTTTCCAAGCCTGAGGTCGAGAAACGCGTAAACTTGACTACGGACGTCCGAGCTTGGAGATGCATAACCCTAAGCAAATACAGATCCTATACAATTGCTCGTCCTTTGATCAGGCATTAGTAACACGGAACCAAAGACTGTTTGCGCAATTCATTGGCGCTGGCCTTCTATCGTCATCCCTATTCAATCCCTAAGGTTTCAGAAGGCCATGCATGACCGTCAGACCCTGAGCTGTCTCGAAATATCGCAAGTTTATCAGCTTATCTTATCGATTAGGACAGGCTTCTTGGGCGTTTGTGTTCCGTTATCCACTACACATCCTTGAGATCAGCAGACAAGCAATTAAACATAAATAGAACGCGGATTGCGGGATTTGCATCCTATGTTAGACTTTAATTGAGCCATAAGTTTTATGGATCTTGATTGGCCGAGAGAAAGTGCTCTCGTGCGTTTTGGCGCTGATCAGCAGCAGGACGTCCAAACAACATGGATCAATCCCGGTATAAGCTGGGGCTAAGCACCAACAACACAACCAACAGTGTTTCAAAACAACCAACAACTGAAAGCCGTCGAACGAGACGTGAGCGTCTGCATGGATAAGAAAGGCAGTGCGTCTCCTGTTTGCCAGCCTGTCAACCCATTTCTCTCTTAAAATTCTTCCCTTTGTGACAGACCAAAATATCGCCTCGTCTTCCGCCGCAATTCATTCATAATGGTTCGCTTTATCAAGACAGCTTTTTTGTTGATTTCAGTCCTCGGTTTCACTGAAGGCTTCATGAATGATCCGCCCAACAGGCCACCACGCGCAGGCAAACGTACCCATCGTGGCTGCTTTGGCGGCCTGTCAGACACGGCAGACCCAGTCATCAAAGTCAAAGGCGACAGAACCAAGAACACATGGACTGCCTGCGGCCAATACTGCCTGGCCAAAGGCAAGCCCATGGCATTGGTACAAGGCACAGACTGCTATTGCTCAGAAACCATACCGAACCGGCGCAAAAGTGTCGGGGGCTTCGGTCATTATTGTATGGACCCCTGCCCAGGCAAACCAACTGATCTTGTCGCCTGCGGCAGCGAAAGAGCGGCAGCGAAAGATTCGGAAGCTACAGCGCTATCAATACCGGTATGAAGAGCGAGCTTTGGCCTGATCAGGATCCGTCACCTGATGATCCGATACCAGATTGCTTGGGTTGTACGTTCAAGTTGCCCAGTGATGCCGTGTTTCCAGGCGAGGGCAGTGGTGTGCAGAGCTGTCGGCGCGCTTGCAGATATCTGAAGTCGAAGACGTTGATGATGTACGACAAGCAGTGCGTTTGCACGAGCGCTACTGTGTCGGAACATGCTCTTGATCGCGTCCCAGAGGAAATGTGTTCTTTACGTTGGGCTAGGAAGCCTTACGGTGGATATTCATATTCTCTTCGCGCTGCACTTTTCAGCGTGTATGACGCGAGTGAGCCTGAGAAGCCCGCACCTGACGCAACTACGCCTCAAGGTGCCGCATCGTCTACTAGCACACAGACTGCCAAGGCCGCTTTGCAGACTTCCGGGCGCTCTGTTGGAGAGATTATAGAAGATGTGGAGACGGAAGTTCAGCTCCAGTTGCTGATCCTTGAGGGAGGAGTTTGGAAGATCTTTGCGTGGATGGGTCGCGTCATGACAAAGCTGGTTACACCAAGGGAAGGACATGAAGATGATGATAGGGAGCTTGACCTACAGTAGCAATTTGCAAGGAGGTTTAATGATGATGAGACTGCACGACAGGAGGGTACACTACTAATATTCGGAAAGAACTGTATGTCAGAGTTGGGATATTACGCCATGCATATAAATAACTCCTCTTGATACAGCCGGTTTTTATTCAATTGATATTTACACTTACTCAAACACGATGACGCCTTTGGATCCTGTGATTACTTATGCTGAAGAAAAATGAAATAGAAATAACAATTGGCAAAAGAATGGTTCCGCCCGGGATCGAACCGGGGACCTTCTCGGTGTGAGCGAGATGCCATAACCAACTAGACCACGCAACCAACGTATGATTAGTCATTGAGAGAACAGAGCAGCTACTGCGCGACATGATCGTGGGCGTGGGTCGCTTGGGCCATTCGCGGTCACAGTAGCTATTGACAGCCTGCGCAGAAACCAAGCGACTCGGATATCAGAAGCGCTGCAAACAAAATGTTTCTGAGCTTACAAGGTTCGTCCGTCGTAGTTTGCGTTGGCCGGCTTACTCCGTAGTGACTGTTCAATCGGGGGTGGGGCCACTCACAATGAGAATCGCAATCGCCAGGGTAGGGCAGAAGATGAAGAGAGCGACAATTGAATAAGCAACTTTGCATCAATTAAATGTCTTGCTTTTAGATTGAACTCAAACTTCGACTATTCATTAACTCTATAAGTTCTATTTTAGAATGTTAATATTCTGTATCTTTAACGCTCGATTTGAAAAAGTGCCAAACGTTAAATACACAATGATCTACGCACGGGGGTCAAGTCACAATCCCGCTCCACTCACGATCTTTCTCGACAACAACATGTTTCAAGGTATATTACTACTTGTACTGACGTTACGACTGTGCAAATCGTCCTGGCGGGCTTGTATCTAATACTTCTGGCCTCACTCTGGATATGCCACCTCTATCAAGAATTATAAGAACCAGTACATTTAAATTCTTCCAAACTAGTTGCTTATACAATCTTTATGAGGGAGCTTACAATTCCTCATCAGCTTCAGGCTTAGACCTAACAAAGTCAGGCTTGGTGATAACATCATTATCTGCATCCTTGATTCTATCCCAGAACTTGGCAGCGTTCTTGGGATCATCCGCAAACAGGGTATCAATAACCTGCTTCTTGGGCGTCTCACCCATCCACTTGAACAGCGAAATATCTCTAAACTCATCAGACCTAAAGATCTCCAGCATCTCAATGGGCTCATCTCCAATGTTCTCAACAAAGTGTCCCATGTTCTTGGGGACAATGCCGACGTCACCGGGAACGTAGTCAAAGGTTCGTGCGTTACCCTCAGAAGCAAAGATTGTCACGCGGGCGCGTCCCTTGATGAAGAATGACCACTCGTCGGCAGAGGGATGCCAGTGCATCTCGCGAATGGCACCGGGTTCAATGATGGCGTGGGCTGCAGCTACGGTCTTGGAGATGGGGAAGTTCTTGGAGTCGGTAATACGGACTTGGCCTCCGCTTGTCTTGAGAGGCTCTTGGTCGAGCATGCGGTGGGTGAAGTTGTACTTAGACTTCTTTGCCTTCTTTCCCTTGGGGGCTTCATCTTTGATAGGGCCGGGAGTGCGGCCTTTGAAGATATACTTCTCGCTCTCGGGAAGACGAGCAAAGACCTCTGGATCCAAGTCAAAGTTCTTGGCTATGACAGACTTTGGCGTATGAGCTGCTCATGTTAGTTACGTGCATCTCCAGAACCGGGTGAAAACGTACCGAGCCAATCTGTGAGTACAAAGGTCGATTCCTCAGAAAAGTGACCATTGTCAAAGATAAGAAGGAATTCCGTGCCATTGGGGCTCAGACCCTGCAGGGAGTGAGGAACTCCGCTGGGGAAGTACTGCAGGTTGTTAGATAACGATCAGCACAGAACCCGCTTACTTACCCATAAATCTCCCTTCTTCAAGTCGTCAATGAAGTTTCCGCCTTCGTAATCAAGAGCCGTAACTCGGACTTCTCCGTCCAGCACGTAGGCCCACTCGGCCTCCTGATGCCAGTGAAGCTCGCGATAAACGCCTTCACCAAGACGCATATTCACGCCCGCAAGCTCAACACTCGTTGGCAGCTCACGGATGGTGGTCTGACGGGTCCAGCCGCCCTCCTATTCTCAAATTAGTAAATCTATTGCAAATCACATTTATCTGCACGAACCTCGATGCGAATATGCGAGTCCGCAAAGCTCCAGCGCATGTTGGCCAGATTTCCATGATCAGTGCTAGGTGGTCTAACGAGATCAGGATTCTGACGCGAGCGCGCCTCGTTCCACGGTCCCAAAACAGAAGCTCCGAGACCGTTGCGCCAGGGCAGAGGGTCAAGCTCGTCGCCGACAGAGTCGACTGGCTTATCAATTGGGTCTCTGTGACCCGGCGTGAACGGCACTTTCTTGCCGCCCGTCACACCGCGATAGTTGGGTGGTAGTCCCAGACCTTTGAGGAGCCTCTGGCGAGGACTGTCCTCTACGGGGACGCCCGCGCAGATGTCCAGAAGGGCTGCGAGATAGGCAAGGTGAGGGAGATGCATGTTTGCGGGGCTGTCACAGACAGTGTTACAATTGACTTGTTGGAGAATAAAGGAATGCTAATTTGGGCAGGATGAGTGTCTGGTTGACATTGATGAAGGATGGATGGGGGGGCACCAATTGCTCAATCGTCACTCACGTTAAGTAGGCTTCTCAGAGTTGAGGGTGAAGAATGCCAAGATACAGCGCGAAACGAAGTTCATGACGCCGAGAAAGCGATCACCGGCGAATCACCGAGTTACGTCTAGTTTGGTATGCAATCCCGTCTGGGGTAACAGTGCATGATGGTGATGACTGCCGCTTGCCAACGCGGGGATCGGTTATCCGGCACATTGGCCCCCTCCAAGTCAAACAAGTAAACAACCCTGCCTACGTGGTATCACAGTACAACTCTTGAATATGTATGGATGCGGCGTATCACTAAGCACATGTAACAAGCTCTCAGGGCGTTACGTGCTGGCGCGTAGCCTGATAGGGTGTGATCAGCTCGAGCCGTATACTCAACGTAGTAAAAAGGAGGGGAAGTGAAGATGGTGTGTAAAGATGACGCCGTGATAGCGTGCAATTGAATCAAAAGAAGAATCCGGGATGTGGGGTATGTTGTAAGCCGGAGATAAAACTAGACCCGGGATTTGGTGCGAGATTTCCCCGCTTATGCCAAGAATAGCTGTCTCTCCTCTGCAAGTAAACGATCGGGAGCGAGCTAAGCCAAGCAAGCTAAGCACTATCTTTTAAGGGCGGAGCTAAGCTTGGCTTTGTTTGATAACCTTGTCTTAGCTCGGTGAAGACGCGGAGAGTCTGGGGGAGGGGCCTTGTTTCGTTGATCTTTTTGTGTTTCTTGCCTTGGCTGATGCTTCGACTTTTTAAATCGTACTTGGCAATTTTCGTTTATTTATGCCCCTCTTCTAACCGACGTTACAAAGAAACGCATATCTCGAACCACTTTCACATCATCAAGCCAACACACACAGCAAGCAATCTTACCACCACCAAATGTCTCAACCATACGGCGCAATCACCAACGGTGAGAGCAGAGCTGAAAACGGCATCTCCGCACAGAGCAATGAGACGCAGGCTCTGCTCGCTCCAAAACCAGGATCTAGATCTTGGTTGCGCGAGAGATTAGGTTCTGATGTCCGCCGAGATTGGGCTGATGTTATGCTTCTGGCGTGCTACATCATAACAGGCATTCTCGACAGTGCTTCCATATCAACATGGGGTGCCTTTGTATCTATGCAGACCGGTAAATCCTCCCTTCCCGTTAAATCTGATCTGATCTGACGTTTGTAGGAAATACGGTTTATCTTGGTCTTGGACCTACGGCTGGGACTAATCGCTGGAAAAAGTCTGGATCTTCAATTCTGGCTTTTTGTATCGGTTCATTCTTTTTTAGCCGTCTGCACCGGGTGTTTACACCAACACCGAGAAGAAAATGGGTGTTTTGCTTGTCCTTTGGCATCCAGACTATTTTCATCGTTGCAGCTGCTTGTATCGTTACCTGGGGCCCTAAAGGCGCAGGCCCAGATGATACACCCTGGTACGTCATTGTACCAATAGCTCTCGTGGCGTTTCAAAGCTGCGGCCAAGCTGTTGCGAGTCGTGCGCTCAAGTTCAACGCTTTGACTAGTGTTGTTCTCACGAGCATCTACTGCGACCTATTCTCCGACGCGGAACTGTTTGAGAGCATTTTTGTCAATGCGGAGAGAAACAGGCGTGTTGCAGCACCGGTGCTTCTCCTCATCGGCGCTATAGTTGGAGGACTCATTGCGAAGAGCGAGCTGGGGACTTCTGGTGCGCTGTGGGTAGCCGCTGCGCTCAAGATCACTGTTATGTTTGGTTGGGCGGCGTGGCCTGCAGAAGAGGGGTCTTGAAGGAAGCCATCGGACCTACTTGTGTGATTCGACAATTCGCTTGTTTGACAGGGTCCTATCTTTAGAGGCTAGACCTTTTAGTATTACACCAGAGCACTTTAGGAAGTTCAGAAATTACAAAGCTGATGCACGCTATACGCCACGTTATGACTCGTGATATGTACGCCTCTTTCTTGGTATCCTAGTCATGCAGGCTTTTCATCCCATGTACCAAGTCCGGCAGCCCCTGGGGTTCCCGTTTCAAGCGAAGTTGTATCGATGTAACTTCCACCACTGATCTTCACCCCCGGACTTTATTAGGCGTCGATCTTGGTACCCCCATCATCATGTGGTCAGCGGACATGTTTGTCCCCCCTGGCACGCAACCCTCCCAGACCCGGCTAAGCGACTCCGGCAGAAGCCCAAGGTCAGCTTACTGGCTGCTAACACACGCCGTGTAAGCAATCTGTGTGATACAACGGTCGAACTCAACTGAATTGATTTGTTCTCGGATTGAATGGATATCTGTCGGTGTTCGGTATCGAGGCACATCCTTCTGTCGATGATTCCTGCATGGGGATATACGCCCGTCAGACAGAGCGTCGCATTTATATACGTGCCCAATCCGCGATGCAGTGGTGATGAGGGGAGGGTGTACGGCGAATGGTCACCGGTAGAGGGGGTTGAAGTGATGCCCTCTGTAGCGTTCACGTCTGTCAGTGTAACTTACACATGACGACTAGTTGATCCTGAGGATAGAGCTGCCTCGATTCGGTAGCTTCAGATAGATAGACTTATTTTTAGCGTATGGCTATATTAATCCGCACAACGTCAGCTCTGGACTCGAATCTCCAGACTCGAAAAACCACATCTTTACTGAAAACTCTGCCATCTTGATCACACCAGTATGAAACTGCTCGACAAAGCCAAGTCTGACGTTCGCAACGATGTCACTTGGAATCGGGCAGCGAGACTAGGAGTCAAGGGAGCTAAAGCTTTGCCATCCGGAACTGTGCAGTACCTTAGTGATAAGGTGCCTATTGTCGGATGGTTGCCGAAGTACAATCCACGATGGATCGTTAATGATCTCATTGCTGGACTTACTCTGGGTCTCATGTTGATTCCTCAGGGTCTGTCTTATGCAAAGATTGCAGACATCCCCGTTGAATATGGGTTGATGTCAAGTTGGCTTCCAGCTGTTCTCTACGCTTTTATGGGATCTACTAAGGGTAAGCTCTCCACGATACCTCCAACACTGTGTCTGTGTTAACGATGATCAGATGTATCAACCGGCCCAACTTCACTTATCGGCCTCCTCACCTCCGAGAACGTGCACGCCCTACAAGATCGATGGACTCCATCTGAGATCGCCTCCGCAACTGCCTTCATGATGGGAGTTTACGGTCTCATCCTTGGCTTTCTCAAACTCGGTTTCCTCCTCGAATTTATATCCCTCCCTGTTCTCAGTGGCTTCATTACTGCAATCGCCATCACTATCATCCTTAACCAGATGGACTCACTGCTTGGTGAAGATAATGTCCGTGATGGTGCGGCAAAGCAGATCCACGATATCTTCAATGAACTTCCCAATGCCAATGGCTGGGCATGTCTCATTGGCTTCACTGGAATCTTGTTCCTTACTATTCTTGAGAAGTCTGGCAAGAGATGGAGCAAGGATAACAAAGTCATCTGGCTCCTCTCCACGACTAGGGCATTCCTGACTTTGGTGCTCTTCACTGGTGTCAGTTACGCTGTTAACAAGAATCGAGATCCAGATAACTTCCTTTTTGAAGTCGTCAAGGTCCAGTCCAAGGGTCAGCAAGCCCCAACAATGCCCAAGGCGGATCTCATCCCTGAAGTGGCAGCTCGCAGTATCGCTGTCTTCATTGGTTCTGCCGTTGAACACTTGGCTATTGCACGAGCATTCGCCGTCAAGAACCATTACACCTCTGATCAGAGTCAAGAGCTTTGCTACCTCGGTGTCACCAACTTCTTCAACAGTTTCTTCCATGCTATGGGTGTTGGTGGTGCCATGTCCCGAACAGCTGTCAACTCATCATGCAACGTCAAGTCACCTCTTTCTGGTGTCGTGACCATGGCTGTTGTTCTTGTCTGTGTCTACGAGCTTGTTGGTACACTCTACTGGATCCCCAAGGCGACACTAGCAGCTATCATCATCACTGCTGTCTGGGGTCTCATTTCACCCCCTTCGACATTCTATCGCTACTGGAAGACCTCTTTGGCAGACTTTGTCGCTTCCATGCTTGCACTCTGGGTTACCCTCTTCCACTCCAGTGAGGTCGGCATTGGATGCGCTGTTGGCTTCAACATTGTCTACATCCTTCTGCGCCAGGTCTTTACCAAACTTTCATCTACTGGAGCCGACGTTGAGTCAAGTCCCAGATCGAACTGGCCTGGAAGCAACCACCTCTTGTCAACCCATATCCCAGAAGACACCAGGATCTTCACCTTCAACGAGTCCCTTATCTTCCCGAATGCTTTTTCCAACACTTCAAAGGTACTTGATGAGATTCAGACATACCATGCAGCATTCTACAACGGCAGTCATGGGCCTGAGACAGAGCGCAACTGGTCCGTTGTCGGCGAGAAGCGGGTCGCTCGCCTTCGCAAACAAGCCAACATCAGTGATCCGTCATCTCTTCCAGGTATCGGTCTCGTTGTCTTGGACTTCTCCCGCGTCAACATGCTGGACACAACTGCTGTTACATACCTCAAGAACCTGGTCAAGAACATCAAGAGCTACGGTGGAGAAGATACGGAGGTCAGGTTCGCTAACATGAATGCTGTTTGCCGCGAGCGCGTTAGCCGTGCGAAATGGCGCATCATTGAAGTTGGTTCTGACGATGAGTATGATGGCGATACTGATGCTATTTACCTCTATTGGGACGCGCAGGCTGCAGTGTCAGCACCGAGGAGGAGAGGCTCTGTGTTGAGTGATGACAAGGGTCATACCATGCATGAGGAGAAGGTTGAGGCTTGAGCTTATGAATCTGTATTACGTAACGACTAGGATGCTTTCATGAATCGGCGTCGGACATTTCTTTTGCCTATCTTATTAGTACAATACCATTCTTTCGTTGATGCTTCGCTTCTTAGCTCACCACGCACGTGATATTGAACTCAAAAGGTGCACACATGCATCATTCGATGTTAGCATCCAACCAAGACATTCCCCCGCTCAGCTGCGAGTGTCGTCTTATCATGCTGTTTCAGTGGCGCCATGGATTGTTGCCCGATCTTATAAGGCCGCTCTGACCACGGCCCAACCTAAGTTAGTTACCTGCATGCTGCACCTACTACAGCGATTGAATGTTTCCAGAATATGATAAGAAGGTTGTTGGACCACGTGGGAAGAGCCTCTTCCGATACAGCAAACATTTTCCGCGCCGTCCCAAACCGGCGATCAATGCCTACAGCATGGCTTTGTACAAAGTGTGTCTGATTTTCCGATTGCACCCGTTACTGTAAAGCTGCGACTAAAGACTGAGTGTTTTCTATTCGGCTAGGTACTGACTATCTGATGTTCGAACGGCACGTCGGCGACTTGTCTCCTTTTAGTGATCGTGAGTTCCGAGGGAGTCGAGATGATAAAGTAGTATCGTCAACTTTTATACGAGTGTGAGTGGAATTAATCAGGCTACACGTGCTTTGTCTCGATGGTGAATACGAGCCCTGGATGGATAGTCCGTATTGAAGCGGAGATCGGTGCTGCAGGTTCATGGCGCGGGGACTGATTTTCTTGAGTGCCGAGATCGTTTCGATGTAACATCATGAATTCCAGTGCAGTATAACGAGCTGCTTTGCGATGAAGATCCGACAGAACCCGGATCATCCGCTTAGAAGGTATCAATCCTCGTCCATACAAACACCACGATATTTAATATAATCTGCAGTAATTCGAAGGTTTCAAGTGGCTTCTGACGTCAGAATCTCCAAACTTTGTTGGACCCTTTGATCCGGGCATCATCATCTGATATCTTCCCGTCCCATGAATACGAGAACGCTTAACACGAGCGCTCAGAACTCAATGCCCCACCAGCCAATTGAAACCCTCTCTACCCCTCCATTTCCCTCGAACACGATCATGTTGGTGATGATTATGCTGCATTCGGTTAGTCACACTCAGCTGATTATCATGGCGCAAACTCTAGACTTTTGATTCTTGAGCGTTGCGGACCGATCCGTTACATCCACATACCGTTTGAGGAATCAGAACATGATTATGGAGGTGTTGCGGGGAAGGCTTGTGGCTTTTGAACACGAATTTTATGATCGGATGGCTCGGCGGTCTAAGGAGGAGAGAGGGTGAGGAAATATATAAAGAGGACGAGGTGCACCTCGTTTTTGTGTTGATCTATCATCTTCAACATCTTATTCATCAATCAATAATAGTCTAATACATTAAAACCATTCATCATGCAGCTGACCAACCTCTTCTACCTCGCCGCAGCTCTGACTTCAGTCTCAGCCACCACCGGTCCGTCCCCCTCCTCCGTCTTTGGCACTACTCCCCTCTAACAATTCACAGTCTCCTACGACCCCGGCTACGGCGAATCAGGTCGCGCCCTCACAGCCGTCGCCTGCTCCGACGGCAAAAACGGTCTCATCACAAAGTACAAGTGGAAGACCCAAGGCCAAATCCCCAAATTTCCTTACATCGGCGGTGCGCAAGCTGTCGCGGGCTGGAACTCTCCCAACTGCGGTACTTGCTGGAAGCTCACCTACAAGGGAAAGAGCATTAACGTTCTCGCGATTGATCATACCGATGCTGGATTCAATATCTCGCCTGCTGCGATGAATGCGCTTACGAATAATCAGGCTGTCCAGCTTGGAAGGGTTGATGCTACTGCTACTCAGGTTGCTATTAGCAACTGTGGTCTCAAATAAGCGGTGGACTGGGTTTAATGATATGTTTGTCGTGGGGATCGTGGTGGATTGATGACGATGATGTGTAATGAGTTTTGATTTAATGATAATTATAAGATGATTTCTACTCACGCATACTGTTTGATCGAGTATCTGTCGAATCTCAGCCATGACATCAGCGGCAATATGAAAAATGTTTCGCCTGGTAAAGGTACGACAACCGCCTATGACGTGTTACTGAGCAAGGCAATTGACCTTTGACGAAATAACGGCTGCCAACATTTATGTGATATCTTATAGTCCAAACGAATTTCGTCATTTCATTTCGAGATGCCAATATGACGCTTTGCAACAGATTTCTCAGCTTTGAAGCTTATGCGCTTTGATATATGTCGTTAAAGTATAGGCTCTTAACGCGTTTCATGTGGATGTCATGCATATAAACACGTCAGAACAAAAGAAAGGCGTCCACGTCGTTTCCAGTCATCCCACGGACATTCAGAAAGAAAACCGATGAGTCGTAAAGGTTCCAGGGGCATTTAATCACGCAAAGGCCATGTTGCTTCAATGGGTGTAATAAGGTAGTTTTGTTTCGTCATCTTAAACATATTGCTCACAAACAGGTTCTGTTGCATTGACGCGACGTTTCATTGGGTGCATGATAATAAACAGTCAGCCTTGCACGCTTGAAACATGAGGTCCCTTGACTGCTATGTAATGTTGAATATTGGGTTGCAATGTTGAGCACCTGGCTGGAGTCGTATGGAGACGTTGAGACGCATGAGTCTATGGCATGAGATCCATTTGACCACGGCAGTTCAATTATTCAACATATTACTCAACAGTATGCAGCTCTATCCGATTCCGTTCCTTGATGATTTCATAACTCGAGAGTGCTCACCTAATGCTGAGGTCGCAGCTCAGGAGCGCTGTTCCTTTACTGCAAAGCCATCTCACACCGAATAGTTATTTATGCATTCTCGCTGACAACCACAATATCGCCAAGCCACGTCCTTGGCTGAGATCGTTTCTTTTAATTGAACATCGGCCACATCGGACGAGATACTGCCACGTTAGGAAGCTGACATACCGCATCCTCACTTGAAACAACCAATAACCTCACCCCAACGACGTGTAGCTCATCCAACTACCGCCCAGCTACTCATAAAAATATGCAGAAACAGGTCAGCATCCATCCCTACCGCGGCATAAGTCACATGCCCGCGTCACACGCTGAAACGCCGGGAATAACGCAGTACCCGACCCCTCCACCCAAATTTAGGGGAGATGCAAGTCACGACCCCAGTCTTCGCATTTTTCGATGTTACACTGCGCGCTTCCCTCTGACCAGTCGAGGCGCTGCCCTGACTTTCGCATAATTGCTTGCAAGGCTGACACTAGCGAGATGAGGATGGGTCATGCTTTTCTTTTTGGGTCTTGTCATGCGCTGGCACGACTCACATCCTTTCGGGGAGTGTCGGTTTGATGCCGATGATAATAGGTGTTGGTTGTACAGCAGATGGAAATGATTTTTATAAAAGGGGAGGAAAATGCTAGGAAATTTTGTGATGATCTGTTGATCTTATTTGTTCTGTATTTCTATGAAAATCAGCGGCTCTTTTGTATATATACTCCATGCGCTTCAGTACGACTATTCGCCTGTTGGGCGTTGCCTCTTTGGTTTCTTTTGCTAGTGCACAACTTGCTCCTGCGCCTGATGGCTGGCCAAACTTCTGGTATAAAGGACATGTTACGAACAAAGCTACCTTTGAGTACAACCCAACAAATGAGTTCATCTTCCCTAGCATCTTCCATGCAGGAGAATATCTAGACGATCCTCTCGGAGAATGGTATCTCTACTACGCACCTCACGAGAATCCTGGTGGCATCTCCCTCGTGTACTCTGATAGTCTCGAAGGACCCTGGAAAGAGTACTCGAACAACCCAGTCATCGCTAACAAATGGGACTCATATTACTCAGTCTCTCATGTCTCAAGCCCAGATGCAAGCTGGAACTCTGACGCCGGCCGCATGTTTCTCTACTTCCACGGAGACAACACACAAACCCGCTGGGCAGAATCAAGCAACGGCGTTGATTTTCGTTACGGCGGCGTAGCAGTGAATAACCAAATGAGCGGCTCCAACACCACAGAATCAAGCTACGCCCGTGTCTTTGCGCATCCCAACCAAGCGTCAAAGTACAACTACGCAATGTTCTACATGGCCAACGAAAAGGACAACAGGCGCAAGATCCGACTCGCCGAATCTGTGGACGGTCGGAAATGGACTGTTGATTCGGACTATGTTGTTCAGCCTGGAGGGCCTGAGGGGACAGATGTTTCAGGTGCGAATTACTGGACGTGGAATGGGCAGGCGTATGTGATTTATCATGGGTCTTCGGGGAAGATTTACGCGAGGACTATTGATCAGACGTTACGGGATGTGGGGGCAGAGCCGATCTTGCTGTATCAGAGTAGAGGAAAGGGGGAGGATGTTGGGAGAGTTGCGGCACCGGATATTGCGAGTTCTGGAGGAAATACTTATTTGTTTTATGAGTCTGGTGATCGGTTGGGTGCGACGATTGCTTGGGCTAAGATGCAAAAGCAGTGAGCAACATCCGGTAAAGAGCCAGTTTGGCAGCTTGTCCTTTGCATATCATCGACATTAGGGCTATTAATGAGAGCTTTTCTAATTCTGCAATCAATACTATTTATTCTTAATAAGATCAAGAGTCGTTTGATCCTACCCCTCATAACTCTTCACGATCTCAATTGAAAAACTCTCAGACTACCCTAGGCATAAAGACGTATTTTCACAAGCGTGCATAAAACGATCTGATGAGTTGTGCATCAGAACTTTTCCTCTGCAGATCTTGGCGGCCCACTTCCAAAGCTCCCCTTGAAGCTATTCTTAGCTCCCTCAGCTCATGGCTACTGTACGATCTTGACGATCCAACAACCAGGCTCACATTACCGAGACAATCCACAAAGAGGATCTCTCTAGCTCAACCTCTATCGTGATCATCTGCGTCATAATCTTCGTCCCTGATCTCAAGGCGATGACTCCTCTTTGTTATGATACGCGTCTCACGTTGGGCCGCAAGTTATCCACATCACCAGCTGTCCACCTCCAATTGGCTACCTCACCCTCGCTAAACCAATCAGATTCGCCACATCGATAAGTCCGTATCCATCTTCAGTTACCGCCTTTTTCTACGGCCTCCTCCAAACCGCATTCTACGTGCTTCACCCAACGACACACTCTCTTTTGAAACTAACATCATGGGCCTCGACGAATTCTTCACCAAAGCAGTCCGCGACAGAAAATTCCAAGCAGCAGCCCTCGAAGTGGCAAGCACATGCGCCTCTGCAGCGCCAGTCATCAAGATCGTCCAGGCTGCGAATAAGATCTCCAAGGTCGGAGACGTTATCCAACATGCCAACGACTTTCTCTCCAGCGCATCGCAGACCATTAAAGGCGCGCAGAGTATTCTGCCGCAGATGCATATCATGGGCCAGTCGTTAGTTGATAGTACGAGATTGTTTCATCAGTTTAGTATTGTCGCTACGACGTTGGGCATGGGCGCCAATGTCATTCAGACATATCAGGGTGTTCAAGCTTTGAACCTCATCGCAGCCAAGCTTGGCGAGATTTCGACGAGTCTTGAGGCCCAGGCGGCGCTTACGGCTCAGCGAGACTTTCCGCAGTATGTTTTTGACATGATTCGGGAACGATTAAGTCAATCCAGTGTCGATACCGAGCGCGATCATTGGTTCTTCCTTTACCATCCCGACACAGATTGGTATCCCAAGTTCTTCCATCTCGTCGAAGAGAAACCACTGAGCCCTCGATTTTGCGGATACACCAACCAGCTCGACACCGTTTTCATGTTCATGCTCGCAGCTCGAGAGCGCATCACCAAGCGAGAAATGTCAAAAGCACGACGAAAACAGTTCTGCCGACCTGTGCAGCTTCATCTCATCGTACCCGCCTACCAAACCATTCTCATTCCCGAGCCAATCCGAATTCCCGATGAGATTGGCGATTTTGTCATCGAAGGACGGATCAACAGCAACAGACCCTTCGTATGGCTCAATCTCCCGGACGAACAACAACACTATACCTTTGATGTTGGAATGTGGAGCCCTCCCCCACCAGGAATATGGGAAAAGACTCTAGCTTGGATGGGTCTGTCAGAAAAGCCCAAGATCTCAGATACACCACGACTTCTCGGCGTTGGAGAAAAGATCGAGATGATTGAAGACGAGAAGAGAGAAATGACTATACAGACTATCGAGGAAGATGGCTCTATGGAAGTTGTCAAGAGAGCTGCGACTGAGTCGACTCTCGATTTGGCGGCAGTGAATAAGCATCGATCCACACCATTGCATGAAGGTCGCCGACGTCGACGATCACGAAGGACAGAGTCTGTTGCATGATTTTGAGAAGTATTTACTTTGAATTTCAATGGCGTTTTGGATACGGCGTTAGACGGATGATACAGATACAATATCAAAGCGGAAACAACATACATGGAATTATGACTACTAGATTGTCAAATGATAGAGCTCAGCACAGTTTGCATAGCGAGCCAGTTATGAATAGAGAACCTTCAATTATTGCCGACAATCGGATATCGTGCCTTTTGTCATTCTTAGGCACGATTCGTAACTTCAAATGTGAGCAATGTCTACCACTGAAATAGGCGCAGCAGTCAAAGGAATCAGGCGCCCAAGACTCAAATGCGCCGCACGATTGTACTAATCAATGCGCCTTGATGTCAAAGACCCATTGCCGTTGGACCGTTAAAGCCACGTCGGGTTCAGCTGACATCACAGCCTCATTGGGCAGACAGGGTTGAAAATGATTCCCCTCACTGCTTGTTAATAAAGTACGATTCCCCATCCCACCAACATTGAATTAAATCGACAAAAGCCTATCGCTCACCATGGCTGAGGCCGTCGGGCTCACCGCGAGCATCATCGCCATCGTCGAGCTCTCCGCCAAAATCGGGAAACTCTGCGTCCAGTACTCGACCGAAGCAGGAAATGCGAGGACTGAGATTAGCCGACTCGAGAACCGTCTGAAGGACCTGAACGCATGCCTCGAAGCGGCCCAGCGACTCCTCGACGACCCGAAAAATACGGCGCTTGCGACAGCGCGATCGCTAGTTGATTCATTAAATGCCTGCAAGAGAGAGCTATCAGAGGTGCAGGACAAACTCGATCCTGGGAGTGCGCGGAAGGCCATGCGTCGATTTGGTCTCCGCGCGCTCAAATGGCCGTTCGATAGCAAGGAAATCAGTACGGTTACATCAAATCTTGAGCACTACAAGCAGACAATCACATTATGCCTACAAGTTGACCAAACGTAGGTCGGTAATCACAACGACTTTGGGCTCTGTTAACCCCGATAGGACAATTCTGCTCGACATGTCGCAAAGGGTTCATGGTTTATCGCTACAACAAGAGAGCACGACTTCAGTAGGTCGCCCGCCATGTTTCAATGTCCCATTTGATCGAGATCAAGACTTCGTCGCACGTCCCGATATGACGGCGTGGCTCAGAGACAAGTACAGTAGCTCTACAGGTCGTATGGCTCTTGTAGGCATGGGAGGGTTTGGGTATGTATCTCTGTCGATTTAGGGTACTATTCGCTAACGTAACCCAGGAAATCGCAAGTTGCCATCAACTTTGCCTATTCGATTCACGATGAGAATTCCAGCGTCAATGTATTCTGGGTCCATGCAAGTTCAAAACCGAGATTCGAAGAAGCCTACCGCGCGGTAGCAGAGAGGATGAAATTACCCAAACGGGACGAGCCAAGCACGGACATCCTTGCTCTTGTTCGAGACTGGCTACAGAACGATGAATCTGGTTCTTGGCTGATGATTATCGATAATGCCGACGATGTCAATCTCTTCTATCCCAAGAGCACCGATGAGCGCCCCCTAGCGTCTTTCTTACCCAAGGCTCAGCATGGCACCATCCTCGTCACGTCTCGCAGTCTTGATGTTGCGGAGAGGCTGACAGGTAGTCAGAAGAACATCTTCCAGGTGTCTTCCATGGACGAGGCTCAAGGCCTCCATCTTATCAGAAACAAACTTACCGTTGAATTTGAGCTTGATGCTGCTGTTAAGCTCCTTCAGGTTTTGGATTACATCCCCCTCGCTATCACGCAAGCTGCAGCCTACATCAACCGTCGATCACCCCGCGAATCTGTTGAAACCTACTTGAAATCATTCCAAGAGAGTGATCAGAAGAGGAAAAGCCTTCTAGAGGTCGACCTCGGTGATCTCCGTAGAGACGAGACTGTTTCGAATTCGGTGATCACAACATGGCAGGTTACATTCGAGAAGATCCGTCACGAAAGACCGTCTGCAGCCAACCTCTTGTCATTCATGAGCCTTTTCGATCACAAAGGAATTCCAGAGTTCGCACTTCACTTCACTACTACAACGGCAAGCTTAAGCATCGGAAAGACAAAGCTGTCGGCTTTGAAGATGATTTAGACGTGCTTCGAAGCTATTCCCTAGTCTACGTGACTGCCAATCGAGACGTTTTCGAGTTGCACTCGACGGTGCAAGCCTGCACCAGAGCCTGGACGTCATCCTCGGACAAATTGCCTGAATTGAAGAGCCTGTTCATACATTCCATGTGCGCAAATTTCGAGCCTCCCACATTTGAAAACTGGCCTACATGCCAGCTGCTTCTGCCGCACTTGGAGTCTGTAACACAGGAAGAGCCGCAGGCGGATGATGTAGAACTGTGGGCAACGTTACTGGGTCGTTGCGCAGGATATATGAATAAAATCGGCAAGTACGAAGCAGCTGAGGAGATCAGCAAGAAAGCGATTAGGGCAGGTTTGCCAAGTCTTGGGGAAGAGAATATGACTATCCATAGGTGTTTGAACATCTTGGCTAAAGCCTATAGGAGGCAAAAGAAGTTGGACCAAGCTGCAAAGATCCAACTTGCGCTCGTTAACACCTGCGAGAGGATTTGGGGAGAGGAGCATAAGCTAACCCTAAACACTACGAACGATCTGGTGGCTTTGTGTACTCTTCAGCATCGATATGACCAGGCCGAAGAACTTATCGTCAAGATCTTGGAAATCTCAAGAAGGACCAGCATAGACAGACAATCACTTCTCGCATTGGAAGCTAATCTGGCGCGAGTATATTCATACCAGAACGAATACGAAAAGGCTAAACAGTTAGGAATACAAGTGGTAGAGGCACAAAAGATGTTGTTAGGGTCAGAGCACCCAGAGACGCTACAGTGCATGGACAACTTGTCTTGGATATAGTGGAAAAAAGGAGAGCTTGAAGAAGCAATTGAGCTCCAGACGCAAGTGTTAGAGGCGAGAAAAAAAGGTATTGGGGGAACATCATCCGAAGACGTTGCACACTATGAAACTCGGGGCGAATATCTTGAAAGATATGGGTCAACACACAAATACTCTATCGCTGATGCAAGCTTGTGTAGACCTTTATAGGGAGGCACATGGATCTGAGTATCCAGAGACAAGATCTGCAGTCAAGCGACTTGAGAGATGGGAAAGGAAGATAGGTGAATTATCAGGGCAGTGATTGTGTAACCCAAATATATTAAATAATGGTCTATCAACCGATGTGCGAGATATCGTGGTTGATCAGTCATTAGCTTCTGGTTCTTAAACAACCTAAACAGACAAAGATATGCTTTGCCTGAAGACAGTGGGAACTCACGATTATAATTTCGACCAACCCGCTGGTAACAACAAGGACACCCAGATCCTACGGCCAGGACAAGGATGTTGCTACAGAATCGAGCATAGCCTCACAGGGCTGAGTAAATTCCCCGCTTCTTCCCACAAACATCAAGGAGGCTTCTGAAAATAGAATCAGCATGTCAATTGCTCGCAAGTATTGGCTGCAAATACCGAACAGGTTTCAGCTGAGAACTTCTCTGCACAATGATGATATCAGTGTCTCGAGAACAACCAGTCTTTCGAGCTATCGCGTACAGACGTCCAATGATCCGTTCCCTATAGGGCTGGCTAGCTCGCCACGACTTTAACGCTTGGGCCAGTTAGCGTAGGATCATCAATGAACAAGCAATCTGATCCCGCTAATCAAAAGGACCTCTAGGTCTTGGTAATGGCTCGGCAAATCCTCAGATGACGAAGTGAAGGCCTTGAATTATAAAGTCTCACGTTTCAGAACATCGCTTACGCCGATTGATTCTCCAACGAAGACATTGACGTTGCAAGGATCTTTATCTTAAAAGACCAGCTGCGACGTCTCGGTCATTTCCCTGTTTGATTCTTATTTCAACGACAGAAATATTCACAGTGTGTCATTTTTGAATAAGTTTAAGAAAGAATTTGAAGGCCTCAATTTGGGAGAGCGCCTTGGACAGCAGCAAGGATATACACAACCATCATACCCTGGACAGAACCAACAGAGCTCCGGTTATCAATCTTACAACGGACAATCACAGCAATGGTGCTACGTCGAAACTTCTGGAAGAAGCTCTTGGCAGATTCCCCTGGATCTTCCGCCACTTCCAGGCATGACAGCCTTTCCAGGAAGTTTAAACGCTAATGCTAGAGGTTATTATGGTCAGATGACAATGGAGATTGGGATACGTGCCAGAAGTGCTTTGATGCGGGCAATAGGTGTCGTGGAAGGGAGAGCGGGGAGACACATAATTTGACGCATCTTTACATGTCGGAGCCCAAGTTTGGGAAGGGAAGTGGGAAGTACGATTCGAGCCGTAGTTCAGACTCTGATTAGAAAAGCTATGATGGCGGTGACAACATGGAGATGTAAAGTAGACGAAATGGCTGAGGCTCTGGCTAGTGATCTCTGAACCCATTTCTGGCATTTTCAGAAATGACGTGTCTGTGCTTTGTAGTTGTAGGGACGCGGGTAGGCTGGCTATTCTGAGATGATAGACAGCAGAGATGATGCTTACACTAAGCTCCCTACAGGTGTCTTGAAGGTAGGCTGAGTGCTCTAGGCCTCAGCCCTTATCGTGATGCTCAAGGTTTTGGGCAATTCGGTGATTAACATAAGAAGCAAGGATTATTAATTAACAGTTATAGGTCTTTTATTAGAGTGGGTTTTGTAAAGTCTATGTTGAGTTGGTGATGAAAGAATCTTGACTAAGGCTAGGCATTAGACCTGTCTTGCAACTGAAGGTCCGCCGTGGGGCAGATTGGTCAGTCATCATGGTATTGATGTCTAAGTTGTGGGCTAGAAGTGTTATTTGCAGTTGAGACTTGTGGCTGATAGCTTATTCCGGCAGAGAGAGCCTGGCAGGGTAGATTGAGATGGACCTTTGATATGTACCCCACACGATACAGAGTAGCTTTGTCCCAGAAATGCTCTGCTGTCAGTACCTCTTCCTTGGTAAGGCCTGCCGCTATCTCGCGATATGGCCACAAGAGTTTGTACCCTCTGCCCAGCACGAATGATATCTTCCGGCGAAATGCCGCGTTTGTCTCGCAGAGGTTGAGCAGTTCGAAGAGGTAGCGGTAGCGTTCGGAAGCTCCCATGTCTTGCAGCGCTTGTAAAACGTTTGGTCCGCTACATATAAGATATTCGATGAGCGGGTCAATCTGTTTTTCCAAAGCAGGAATATCATCATATCGTTTCTCTATCGCCATATATATCCAATCGCGATACAAATCATACAGGTAGGTCATGATGCTGTAGAATCGCTTGGGAATTTCACATGATATGCCATCCTCTTCGAGGAGGCTATGCCACACGGCAGTGTCCCCATCAGCTGAGATCGCATTTTCAGAGAAGAAAACCGTACAATAGGCATCGTAGAGACAGAAGGTATCCATGAATTGTTTCCTTTCAGTCCTCGAGAGCACTGGCTCTTCAGAAATCTCAGACGTTCCCAGTTTGCTGACTGCGTTTAGATTTTCCCACGCGCAATCTGTGTAGCTTGACATCACGGTCTCGGCTTTACCTAGGGCATCTGAGATGAGCCTGAGCTGTCGAAGACTGTAAGAAGGATGGAGCAAAGGTCCCTTTGGAGAGAAGCTCAAGATTGATTGAACAACTCTCCTAGCAGAGGCCTGACGAACTGAGCTTATGGCGGCACCTTTCGACTGCATATTTTGGAGCTTAGCTGCAATAAGACCGGTGCGAGGCATATCACCACCGAAGCGAAATCTCATATGTTTGATCATTGGGCTGACTATGGTAACGCGGCTCTTGCAGAAGGGTTGAAGGAAGACTGGTGACGAGCGGATCAAGACAAGGAGGTCCTTTGGCTCAATGCAGAACGACATGATCATGGCGAGAATGCGCTCTGGTAAGCTTGCAATAGTTGTACTGTTGGGACCGCAGTCGCGAGGATCAGTCTCCATAGGTATGTGCATTTTCCGATTCTTCGAGGGCCTCTGGACGTCACACTCAGGCAGAATAGAGTCATCGTCTACATCGCTGCTACAACTGTCTTTGCAGGCAGTTTCGGTTGCAGGATATTCTTCCTTAGTGTGATGGTCTGGAGAGGTTTCGCTGGATCCGTGAGGTGCCACGTCAGGATTGTGAGAGGGCTGGAGCCAATGACGAACGCGTTCCTTTGGGTCGGGAAGAACAGTGTTCCCGATCGCCAGACGCGGTTGTTCAAAGGAGTTAAGAGCGTTCGGCTCCATCTCAGAAGATGTCTCAGAGAGTGTATCAAAGTTGATAGGGAAGAAATTTGAATGAACCATCGCCGGCATAGGAGAGGGGGGTGAACTCTTTTCTGCAATAGCAGAAGCGAGGTTGGGCTCGAACAACAGATGGACGTCAGAGCTTTCTGATGTGAGAGAGCAGGATGGAGATTCTGAATACGTTTCCGGGGGTTCGGTGAGAGGGCTAGGTGATATACGCTTTGCAAGGAGTCTTTCTGGCACATTTGGCTGACAATCCTCCTCCAAGCTTGTAGCACTGGAAGCGGGACTTTGACATCGAGAGTCGGGATTGAACTGAGTATCTGACCAGGCATCACTGGCCACAGACGGTGGAGTATCGGATGGTGCAGGCGACGGTGGAAGACGGGTTCGAAGATTGCCGGATACGCCGAGTCGAGGAGCGTACTTTCCACGGACCGTTCCACCCGTGCGATTGAAGAAATCGCGGTCATGAAGAGGCGAATTGCGAGACCTGGGTCCGGCCCTATCATTGGGACTTCGAGGGCTGCCAGGCGGAAGAACATTCCGCTGATGGCTCCGAATCCGGTTATGTTCCATTCTTGGTGGTGTCTCTGGAACATCCTTGGTATTCTCAAGAGATTTGCAGTGCTTACAAGCAGGTCGTTGCATCAACTTGAAGCTGGTTGGGAGTGGTGGTGTTGCTGGGTGTATACCCGTAGTTGGAAATGACCCTTCGTCACTTAGATCAATTCCAAGATTATATGGAAGTCTTTTCCACACCTGCCAAGGGTAATGATTGATGATGTAATTAAGATAAGATCAGATAAGATGTCAACAAAAGTTTCTTTATGGACAGAGAAGGAGAAAGAGGATTCTGCAGAAGGAGAGGGGAAAATGGCGATCTTTATAAAAGTACGGAAGTCTAAATAAAATCTGAGCAACATACAATGTTTTCGTTGACTGTATGACTGACTTTTTGCGTTTAGGCGCTCCTCAAAACAAAGCTCTGAGCATATTGCCACCAACCAAGCTTGTCTGGATTCATTCCCAATCGAGCCCTGTATTTGAAGCGACATAATTGAAATGCAATACACATGCCTGCGACGGGCAGAAATAATTGCTGCAAGTTCAATCGCCCGTTTTCTAGTGAAACATTGATACTGAGCATTGGAGATACTTCGTGTTGTTGCCTGCGGGTGAACATGTCCGGGGTCGCAGATGGTTATATCATGCAACAGGGCAGCATCTTGAGTCACAGAAATGCCGGCTCTAGCGCGCTGTGTGAGGCCACTGGGAAATAAATAATATCAGTCTTGGTGCCCTGAACTTGGCAAGTGTTCGAGAGAGGAGGAACAACAGCACAGGCGCCTTTACCGCCCCGTAGCGAGGTAGATCGACAGCCTTGATATATTAGATTTCTTCAGTTTATGGGATCCCAGGGTTAGGGTAAACAAAGGCTAATGACCGTTACCTGATACGAAGGTTAAAATTAACACTGTAGGCACCCATGGGCTTTTCTGAGTTTAGAATGACTCAAAACCCAAAGGAAAAAGCTTAGGAGCCAATCAAGTTTCGTAGAGTATCATCAATGCCTCCGCCACAGATCTTCAACTGGAAGATTCTCTTGTATTAAGCCTCAACTCGCCATTCTCCCCTTTGAATGTGGAGAGCTCGAAGTATATTTAAGAACAACAACGGGGCCGCTGTCTTTTCACATGAATTGCGTAAGCGTCGGAGAAACGCAGGTCGCGTGAAAAGAGATGAGCGTACATGATGACCTGCTTTAGCTTATGATGTTGAAAGGTCAAACTGATGGCGAAGTCCATCTCCATTGTCGCCATCTCCAGCGAGAAAATACGCAGTATGGTCATGAAGCTTCAGGTCTCTCGAGGTCGCAAGGTGACTCAGCAGATCATTTGATGAGTGGCTAAAGAAAGCCGAAGTATGAGTAAACTTCTTATTTACAAGGTATATGATTGCAAGATATATATTTACGGCACTGACGAGCTAATGAAACCTTGTGCCGAATCCTCATTGTTTCTTTCACTTTCGAAATTCTGTCTTGGAAGGGTCGAGTTACTTCTTGCATAACTCAGTCAGATTTATGCTGTAGCCACTGGTCAGTCATCGCGGCATCGATGTCTAGGTTGTGGGCTAGAAGTGTTATTTGCAGTTGAGATTTGTGGCTGAGAGCTTATTCGGGCAGAGAGAACCTAGTAACCTGTATGACATAGAAACAAAAGTCTTCTTAGGAGACAACAATGAAGCACATAGTCAATAGGTTCGCGAAGCAATAGACTGGCTATATAAATATATAGAATCATGGCTGAACAATTCCAGGCGCTTGAAGTGAACACACGTGACTTGTTAGTTACATCAAGGAGTACTGGACGTATCGCCAGGGAGCAACCATGTCCTTGTCACTGCTATGCAATAACCAGTCGACGCTTCAAATATAGTATTGCTAGACGAAAAGAGGACATAGAAGGGTCAAATAAACAATAGGTAGATCCAATATTGCCTTGGACCTGCGTGGATTCACAACCAGTAACTATTGAGGCGTGGTGTGACATACCAACCTACTATGAGAATATTACTTGTTGATTCAGTTTCTAGTAACTATAATGCAGAGCTAGGTGCAACTTCAATATACCCATAGACCGGATATTGGGTACCAGCGAGGAAGGTTTTGGATAGACATATTCACGAAAGTAATTGTGCTTGCCATCTATGGTATACTTCCAGAGATACTTTACGGCGTAAGCGAACCAAATGAATGACTGTCAAAATTTTTACCATTCTTATATGGCGTAGCGCTCAGTGGCTATGACAGGATTGTAGTTTAAAGTAACTTTTTAACACTCGACTATGGGATGCCTTCCGCCGACATGATTGAACCTTAGGCTGCAGATACACATAATGAATGAGAACAAGGTTTCTTTTTTGCCTCCTTCAACACTCTAAGTATAAGAGACCACGCTCACACGTCGTCGCAAAGTTTGATACTAAGATTCTCCATCTCGTTTAACTTTAGTGTGCGAAAGTTCCTCGCCGAATGAGAGTATAAATACAGAGACCCCAGCTGCAGAAGAATCACAATTTCCCTGTTCTCTATCTCACATACCTCACCTCAATAATCACAAGACTAATCAACACCAACATGTCTCAACTTAGCCCTTCTCTTACCACCACTAAGATCAACGAAATGGCAACCTTTCATCAATTCGCTAGACTCCCTATCGAGATTCGGGACTTGATATGGGAAAAGGCTCTCATCAAAGACAGAGTTCTCAGCATGCATGTTTGGACCCTCGGAGAGAAATGCTGGTAAGTATATCACCATGCTCTCAGCAAAGCCTATATAGAGCTAACGAGTAACAGGAGTGAGGCACGAACTATGCATGTGCTCCACGGGAGACCTTTGGAGAAAGAGCTTTCAGCCGTTATTGGTTCTCCAACTACTCCCCGACTTCCCAACGGACAGGAGACGGAAGTCAATGCAGGATCGGAGAAGAAATATGGTGTCTTCGTCGATGACAAAGCAGCTATAAGCAAACTGTTCCGCGTCAACGCTGAGTCGCGCGAGGCTGCGAAAAGGTTTTACAGGGTACACATTCCCTGTACTTATATGAAACCAGGGCTATATGAAAAGGGAACGCTGTACCTTCGACCGGAATCGGATACCATACGCATGGGTCTTACCGAAGGGTTTGGTCGCTTCGCTCATTGTGTTTGGGCGACGGATCATCGGCACGTTGGGCTCGTCAACCTAGCCCCCGACCTTAAAGTTCGATTTAGTGGCTTTAATGATTTAGATTGGCAGCATGATTCGTTTCCAGAAGATCCTACAGAGGTGAAGCTGTGGAAGGAGGGCCTGGCAAGACTGGAAAACGTCAGCTTTCAGGATACCATACCAGGATGTGTGGATCCACGATGGGCGGAGCTTCGCACGTTCCCTTTGCCCTTGGCACCCATTGATCTCCAAATACCTGGGTTTAATGACAAATGGGCCAAAGCTAATTCACCTCAGTACCTCCCCATAGAGGGTATGAGACTGAGCGCTCTGTTCTGGTTCCGTCTCTTGTCCAGAGAGGAAATCACGTTGTCGCCCGATGTCAACTATGGCTGCCTGTTCAGTCAAAGAGACACAGTACACCAGTGTCTTCCAAACAGAACCAAGAAGTGGCAATGTGCAGCAGAGTTATTCATCCAGGACTTCAGAGCAAAGGGAAAAGAGGTTGTTCCTGGATACTGGCTTTTTCCGATGGACCACCTTTCAATCGTAAAGGTTGATAAGGGCAAGTTGTGCGTGGACAGAAACAACTCGAAGTTAAAAGAGATGAAGTCCAGCTTTGAGCTGTGTGCACACAGGCTTACTGCATACTCGGAGCAGACTGGGATAGTTGACTGTCGGAAACGGCATCTGTGGAAGACATCATAGGATTCTGTGCCCCGGCCCAACTCCTGTTTGGGCTTTTTGGACATGATATTAGCATTGCCAGTACTTCGTTAGACTGTTTTTGTACGCGCGGGACAAAGAATAACACCATGGACGCCGGGAGGACAAGAGTACACCTTTCATTTCTTTTTATTTGTGTGTCCTCGTTACTAGGCTGGGCGACGATCTTGCTTAAATAGTTATGAGTTTTCATTGGCAGAAGGAAGCATTAAGCAACATTGTATTCATTTTCAACACTGCGAAATAATTGCACTTCATCTCTCGATAGGATAAAGGACATACTTTAGTGGCTGTAAGGCGCGGTAATCTTTGGTGTGGTTGTGACGCTAAATATCCTTTGCAGAAATTTCAAAGAGCTTATTGTCAATCTTAAGTTTATGACGGCATCCTGGAAATGTTTAATCCTCAGGGAAGCAAATATCGTGAGGCATGTGTAAACCTTGGCCACAAGGACCAGTGTTTGGTGATTGGTGTGGAGATGCGAATGGGTTTTCCGATGCTGTTGTCCGGAAATTCCGAGGATAAACAGAGATCTTTGCTTTTCATGGCGTATCTAGTCCCAGTATGGAAAAGCGCTGCCGGCACAATCATCCACCCTTATTCAAAGTATATATCGTCGAGAAGACGCAAATTGACCAGAATAGCAGAAGGTTCGCCTGGGTAATAAAGAGCCGTCTCTCTTCCTCGATGTCTGGAACATTGATCTCGGGAATCACGTCTCGGTGGCCAAGTACTCGGGGTATTAATGCGACGATAGCAACCATCTGTCGATGACGGCGCATGTTTCCAGATCGACGGGTTATGTTACAGCGATGACAAACCCTGACCCTTCATGAGTTGTCCATCTGCATTTCCCCGCGTTTTACCCCAGCCCGTTCATTTAGTTCTTCCCCGCAATGTAATATTCGGTAAAGATGATCGAGGACTCTCGGGTTATCAATCAGCGAGAAGGCTGAGGACGGCATTTCCAGTGATGATCAATTGACCTCGGTACTTAGGAAGGTCCGAACTACTCAAAGTCGAAAGGGACTAGTGCTTGCTCGTCCAAGTTTATAAAATGAGGGACCAAGCGACCTCGATATCGGACTCATTGCCAAGCAAGTTCAGTAAAGATGGCTCTGTCAATCTCCCGAGTCTCTTTTGAGCATTACGCCTCACCTCTGGGCATCGCAGAGACAGCACCAAGAATCTCATGGAGATTTGACGGTGATGCTCCCGATTGGGAACAGAGCTCTTACGATATCCAAGTTACTCGCAGCGTCAATGACAAGCCCAAATCTTTCTCCTCCAAGTCCTCCGACTCTCTCTACCAGCCCTGGCCAGATGATCCACTCGAAGAAGCCCAACCAGTCTCTGTCAGGGTCCGCGCTCATGGGCGCTCAAAGCAGCCCTCAACGCCCTGGTCTGATTGGGTCTCTGTCGAGACAGGACTCTTCAAGAAGAGCTGGGAGAACGTGAAGCCCATTGCTTCGACTATCAAGATCAATGTCACCGCGCCCAAACGGCCTGTTTACTTCCGCAAAGAGTTCAAGCTTCCTGATGATATTTTGTCGGCTAGGCTTTACATCACGGCCCTTGGTATTTACGAAGCAGAGATCAATGGGAAGCGGGTTGGCGATAGTGTTTTGGCCCCCGGCTGGCAGTCCTTTCACCACCGCCATGTCTACGACACTTATGATGTGACCAAGCTCCTCACCCCAGGTTCCAATGCGATAGGCGCTCTTGCCGGTGAAGGCTGGTACGCTGGACGGTTGGGTTTCGCAGGCGGGCAACGAAACATCTACGGCAACACTACTGGTCTTCTGGCGCAGCTTCACGTCAAGTCCAAGAGCGGAAAGACACTCAAGATCGTCACCGATACCACTTGGAAGTCCAGCTTTGGCCCTGCTACCGCCGGAGAGATCTATGATGGAGACAAATACAATGCAACTCTCGAAGCCGATATCAAGGGATGGTCCAAGCCTGGCTTCAAGGGTTCTTCTTGGAGCGATACTCGTCTTTTGCCCTCTCCAGATGGCGAGCTTGTTCCTGCCGAGCAGCCACCTGTGCGACGTGTTGAAGAAGTGAAGCCACAGCGCTTCTTCAAGTCCGCTTCTGGCAAGCAACTTGTCGACTTTGGACAGAACCTTGTGGGTTGGCTGAGGCTGAACGTTGATGGTCCTAAGAACACCACTATCCGACTGCGACATGCGGAGGTTCTGGAGGATGGTGAATTGGCTCTTCGACCTCTCCGACTAGCCAAGGCTGAGGACTACCTTACTCTCAGTGGTGAAGGACCTATCGAGTGGGAGCCCAAATTCACATTTCACGGCTTCCGCTACGCTGAGCTTTATGGCTGGCCTGAAGAGACACCCTTGAATGCGAACAGTGTCAGGGCTATTGTTGTTCATACAGATCTGGAAGAAACGGGTTACTTCAACTGCTCCAACTCGCTTCTCAACAAGTTCCACTCCAACGTCCGGTGGTCCATGAAGGGCAACTTCCTGAGCATTCCAACCGACTGCCCTCAACGAGATGAGCGACTTGGCTGGACGGGCGATGCACATGCTTTCGGCCCTACATCGAACTACCTGTACGACACATCGGCCTTCTGGAAGGGCTGGCACAAGGATATCTGGTCTGAGATGTCCCAGAACCAGATGGTCCCGCCATTCTATGTCCCCTCGATACCTTGGTTTCTGGACAGACCTCCCAAGCCAGCATCAGTATGGGGAGACGTGGTGGTTGGCAATCCATGGCACATCTACCAATCGTTCGGTGACAAGGCACTACTCCAGAAACATCTCCCTCAGGCTCAGAACTGGATTGATATTGGCATCTCTCGGAATGATGTTGGTCTCTGGAATCGAAGTAGCTTTCAATTTGGTGACTGGCTTGACCCTCTTTCACCCCCCGATGATCCTGGCTCTGCGACGACAGACAAGTATTTGGTTTCAGATGCGTACTTGATCAAGATGACCGAAACACTTTCACAGATCACCGGAGCCCTTGGTAACTCCAAACTAGCCAAGAAGTACCAAACTCAGCACTCTGACCTCAAGCGCGAGTTCCAGAGTGCCTGGGCACCCGACGGCAAGTTAGTCAACCGAACTCAGACCGCCTACGCTTTATCGCTGGCTTTCGACCTTCTCAAGGATGACAAGCACAAGACGGCTGCTGCCGACACATTGCGAGACATCATCAAGAACAACGACTATCTTGTTGGTACAGGCTTTGCAGGTACATCTCAGCTGGGCTTTGCACTCTCAGACATCAACTCCACAGATGTCTTCTACCGCATGCTTCTTCAGGAGAAGGTTCCGTCTTGGTTGTACCAGGTTGTCATGGGCGGCACAACCACTTGGGAGCGATGGGATAGTATGCTTCCCAATGGCACTATTAACCCTGGTGAGATGACCAGCTTCAACCATTACTCTTTTGGGTCTGTTGCCAATTGGATGCATCAGTTCATTGGAGGAATCGCGCCTTTGGAGCCTGGGTACAAGACTGTTTCTATTGCGCCTATTCCTGGCGGCAATCTTTCTCACGCAAGTGCTACGTATGTAAGTCAGTATGGAACAATCTCGACGGATTGGACTCTATCGAATGGGAAGTTTCATCTCAAGGTCAGGGTTCCGCCGAACACAAAGGCCAAGGTTACGTTGCCGGGGTCACAAAAGACGAAAACTGTTGGATCGGGGAGCCATGAGTTTAGTGTTTGACAGAGCCTGAGTGGGAAATAGTGTTTCGTGTATATCAATCGAGGTCTATTTAGCCATTGATGACCATGGTCAATTGAGAATGTCCCAACTTGCAACCTATACTGTGGATGAAAAGCCGCTTTCTTCTTCTCAATGAGTTCATTGCCCCACGGATCTGTATCAATCGCCGCCATCGGAGTCGTACACTTTGCCTGCAGCGCCGCTTTAGCCTCATCACTATTATACGGCACGCAATCAACGCCAATATCACCGTGCATCCCATCACAGATAATGACAGGCTCTCCCCCGCACGGCGTCCGGACATTAAAGTCTTTGACAGTGATGTTTGCACAAACAGCATCCTCGGCAGCTGAGCAGGACAGCCTTGCAACATCGTTGCCATAAACACCAGATGTGTATCCAGTAAAGTTCTCAAAGTGGATGTTGGTGATTTGCATGCCTGATGGGTGAGCGTTGCATTCTTCGGAGGAGATGTTGAAGTAGCATGAGTCGAGGAAGATGCCGTAGTCCATGCGCGCGACCCAGAAGTTCCTGATATCTGTTGAGCAGGAGTCGTTGGTGATATGGTTGGGGAGACTTACTTGAAGGTTACGTTGTTGACGAATCCTGTGCCGGTTTCTTCACCGGCCCAAACTTTGATACGAGCTGCCGAGTACTAGACCAATTAGACGTAGTTATAACAGAGAGGTTTGCCACTGACGTCTCCATTCATCATCCAAACATTCTCAATGTGCACATCGTAGACATTGGAGACCTCGCCCTTGTACTGCCCCAGAGAGCCCATAGACTATCTCGGTTAGCATACTCTCTTCGAGGCAGTCCAGTACTGACCTGTCCATGCGTGCCGTTGCAATACATGGTATTAACATAAAGATCTGAACTATTCGGTTTCGGAGAGAAACAGTCGTCATCGATGTTCACCCAGGTCCTCTCTATCCTAACAGTCGAGGTGTTCATAGTATTCATGAAATCGGTGTTCTTGGGGATGATACTTCCGTTGTTTGAAAGGGCGGTCGCTACAACATCTGTGTACTTGATGTTCTTGGAGCTGACGATGAAGTTATCCCAGCAAGGGGAGTCTTTGAGATGGATACCCGAGACGTCGAGGTTAGTCGTATTCTCGGCGTAGAAGAGGATTGGGCGATAGTATTTGTTGTCGGGGTTCAGAATGCTGTAACTCGTAAGCTTGTCTGAGTAGTTTGTTCGACGATGGAGGTGCACTTACGAGCCAGTTCCAGACTCGAACTCGTTCCACCACCGTTGTCTAATGATATCAGCTTTTTATCATAAGGATGGACGAGATTGACTGACCCTTGGCCTTCAATTACACCATTGCCGTAAATTTTAATGTCTTTTCCTCCCCACTTCCAGAACATGATGGATTGCTGAAAGGGATGGTACCAGGCGTTCTCTTGCCAGTACTCAACATCATCTGTGAACTATGGCTGTCAGAAAAGCACGTGGCTTCGGGCTACCTCTCAAGTACTTACTCTGATCTCACCCTCGAGATGAATGTGAATGTCCTCTAGCCCGGTCAAATCTAGAGCTTTACCAATGACATAAGTCTTTCCCTTGGCTAGATGCAAAGTGCCTCCACCATTGGCTTTGCGTACGCCCATCTTGAACTCATCCGACACATCGTCTGTGTCATTCTTGGATGCACGGATCCGGACGATTTCGCGATGTTCATGCTTAGGTGGAGTGTAGGGATGTTTGTCTCTGAACTCTGAGATGTCGCGGGGTACTCCAGCTGGAAGGGACAGGGCATTAACACTAGTTACAAGCAGTGTCCCGAGAACGAAGATGGATTGCAAACCCGGCATAGTCTAGTGATGCCAGAGTTTCGATGTCTTTAACGCGTGTATTTTGAGGCACTTCAAACCAGAATTGCGATTCTTATGGCTCTGCCTATCTTTATACCCTCAACACCATATGCGGTACCTCGGGATATCATTGCAACTTTGCCGGTAGTTTGAAGCCTATTGGGGTATCAACTGAATCCGTTGCAGATCTTTTAACCCCCAAACCTTGAATCATGTGCAAGTTCCCCATTGCCAAGTCGGAAAAGTCATGACTCTAACACAGCGTTACGGAGCATCCTATTGGTGGAACCACAAACTCCGTCTGCCCCAGGAACCCCGGCCGCGCGCTTTTCCGGGCTCTAAAAGCACTTACCCTGCACTTTAGAGATACCAGCACTTAAATTCATTGCTCTTTTATCTTGTTGTTGGTTATACGAGCTTGTTGCCCAACTAATCTTTTAGACATGCATATTAGTGACTTATAATGGAGGTCGTATGTATTACATTATCCTCGAAAGAAAAATCCTGGCGCAAGATGACGTAGAATCGGGCGACAACTTTGGATAATTGAGGGTAAAAATATCTCACGTGCTTTCGATCCTCCCGGGTAGCCTACAATGCGGGAAGTCGGTTTTCACAGGAGAACTGCTTAGCCCAAGTCGACCATTGGTTAGCAGCCCGAATGCCTCACCTTCATTGCGTCGTGACTTGGTGATGTGAATACTATGTCAACATTCTAAACGATGTCCAGCACCGTGTCACCCGTTGGCAGATTGAACTCCAAGTTCGTTTCTGGCACTAGCGCTGACTGGATGAAAGGCATCTGATTACACATTGCTAGCAACGATAATTCCAAGAACTAAGGTACACAGTGTTGTCTAAATTACCCACCTTGTTATCGAGTACATCGAAACGGCACTCGACAGTCAACGCATCTAGCCTACCTTCTCCGACGAAATTAGAAACGGAATTGTTATCTACACAAGATGTTCTCGCTCCATAGGTAGTGTTAATGAGCCTAGTTCCACACGTTTGGTTCTAAATCCACAGCTGCTGAAGGTGGCGCGTATAACCAATATGTTTCCCGGGGTTGTTGGCAAGGCCTGATTTCGTAATTCTCTATTACCAGTGCCCCCAGTCTCGGTAGGTTGTAAACAGATGGTGGGCGAAGAAGTTCGAAGTCGAATTGGAAACCTCTGTAGTTTTCTAAAAACCGCCAAGCTCCAATCCGTTGAAACTCAGCCAGCATTTTCTCTGGGTCTTCAAGCTGACCAGGGTCGAAGTTGGCTTTGATGAATGAGGTATTGTCGATAAGTTGGGCAAATGCGTTGCCATGTCCTCGGTGCAACCGAGGGGCTATATCCAACCGAGTACCTTCATCCAATGATGGGAGGGACTGCTTCATGGTGATTCGCATGGCCTCCTTGCGAAGCACAATGTGTTGGAAGATCCGGGAGCAGATGACGGGAATCGGTTCACCATCTAGAGTAAAAGTATAGGCGCCATTGGGCATTCCAGCCTCAGGTAGAGATACGGTCTCTGCTAACCAATTTGCTATCTCAGAAAATGATGCAGAGCTTGCCTCCTTGAAGGCCACTTCTCCAATTTCATGCCTTGCGTAAGCTCTCAAACTTGCAAAGGAAGTAGCGCGGCGAAGCAACGCCCGAGAAAAAATGACATTCAGCATACTGACACGGTGGCTGATCCGCAATTGTGGATTCTCTTTGCAAAAAGGGACAAGACCTGCAGCGTGGCATTCTTGACGACCTACAGATGGGTAATCTTCAATGATCCCCAAACCACGAATGCACACTCGTTTCTTTGCGGGAACCTTTGTAAGCCAGTCTATGGCTGCAGAAGCGGCCGAGAAGCGAAATTTGGCAAGATACTCTTTTTTTTGGTGTTCATCGGGCCCCCAGGCTTCGAGCTTAGACCAGAGGTGATCATCGCTATACCTCCTCTCCATTTCTGCAAGGACGTCAGGATGGGGCACGTCCCAGGGCTTGAAGGACTGATCGAGGAAGTTGAGCAGACGATCGCTACTCCTATGCTCCCAGCCTAAAAGCTCATACTCCACAATCCTATCAAATTTCTCTGATGGTCTCTGGGCAAGGGTACGTAGAGTGAATTCGAGGGCCTCGCAAAGCGCGGAGAATCGATTGGACTGCCGCAGAAAGGCGCTGCTGAATAGGTAAAGGAATTTGAGAAACTCCAATACTTAAATTGCCTCAGGTCGATTCGATGTGATCCATGTAGATGCTGGCGTAGGGCATCTCTGAGTTGCGGCACGAACCAAGGAAACGTTTGTTCAATACGAACCCACATTTCTTCAGTGAGAAACCAGTTGCCCAAGATGAGAACAAGGCTTACCTGTTTCTGAAACTGGGCGAAGAGAACATAGTCAAAGCGGCCAGCCCAAGGACGAAATTCTGGATCGTAGACCGTAGAACGGTGACTTTGTTGTATGATAGAGGCAGGTCTCTGGTCTCGTAGGCTATAAGGCGGCAAGTGTACATCAGAGCGAGATCAATTGGTAGGCCATTGGCGGCGGCGAGCTTCCGCGAGATTGGCTGGAGGAAATAGCCATCAGCGGTTGTGTAGTAGTATTCGTAGACAAGGTGTCGAAGCTCGGGGGGGAGAGTCAAGAACGGGAAGGAAGACATGACAGCGGGGGTTCGAGTGGTAGAGATTTTGAGAGGGGGGCGGGTTATTGGGCGAGAAATGTTATTAGTTGGGTGAACAGGCAACAATATGACAGGGTCGTGCTTGATACGGAGCAACTGTACCAGCTGAGAAGGCAATGATTGAGAGTGAGGCTGGGGCAACGTATTGGGTATGTCGCGGTGCTGTTACAGGTGGAATTTCGGGCGGGGGTGAAGAGGATGGGCACGGGGCTTTATTGTGCGTGAGATAGGCTGCGGTAGCGCTTGAGGTTGTGAGGTCCCCATCCGGCCTTGTCCATCAGGGCTGCGCTGCGATAACTCGGAGAGTGCGGAGAGTCATCATGGCAATCTTCAAGGTGTCGGTTCCACATCCTTCGTGACATCTCTTCCGCGTCCTGCTTGGCAATCTTCGTCATTGCCTTCCTCAAAACGTTGGTCGACATGCTGCTAGCTTTCCTGTCCCTACACGACTTGTTAGCTCTCTCCAAAAGGGATCTGGCTGGGTAGTCCAGGGAGTGGTATGGATGAAGTTCGAAATCGGCTGGCATCTTGCCAATCTGTCGCATTCTGCGAAGCCTTTCATGGTCTGGAGTGTCTAGAGCGCGAGCCCTCTGCAAGGTCGCGACCCTATCCAGATAGACAAGGATGTCTTCGACGTATGCCTCCTTGTTGACTGTTCGCCCCGAACTACGACCCAATGCTCCAGTGACTGTCCTCAGGCATTGGTTCTGAATTCTGGTCAGAGACTTTAAGACATTGTCCGGTACCTGGTACCGGACGATCTTCTTGTCCCCGTATATGAACCAAGCGCCGCAGCCGTGTGATATAATCGGTCGAACGGTGGTGATGTAAAGCTGTCTCAGGGATATCACGTCGGGGCCTGCAGTGGTATTGCAGATTCGTGCGATGTCGTTCATCTTCGTGTTGGCCTTTGCAGCCACCTGTGACGACGAGTTAGTATGTAACAAACAGATCCTGCAATGTGTTGATCTTACCTCTTCAACGTGTTGTTGCCAGTGGAGCTGGCAGTCGACCTCGACCTCGACGCCCAAGATTCTCATCGAGTGCTCAGGCTCCTTGCCCTCCAGTCCGGGAATCTTTGGCATGAGTTTCGAGGGGACAATCTTGCGTCCTGGTGGATAGAAGTGCATGACGTGGTATTTGTGAGGCGAGAAAGAAACGCCGACGGAATCGGCCCATTCCATGATCCTGTCGTGGCATTCCTTGAGCGCCTTGCAGTTGTCTCCGTAACTGTTGGAGACGGCGAGTAGGTAGGTATCGTCGACGTAAGCGAAGGGATAGATCTTTACCCTATTGTTGGTGTACTCTTTGGCGGTACTAACAATGGGCATCGAGAAGAAGAGGAAGAGTATGGGAGACAAAGGACTGCCCTGAGGAATGCCTATGTTGACCTAGAAGCTGGGTGAGGTGAAGCCCGGGATTCTCATGTCGGTGCTGCGATCGGTAAGAAACGACTAGATGAAACTGAGCATCCATTCGGGTAGGCCAGCATCCTGAAGAATCTTCATGAGCTTGGAACGCTCGACTCTGTCGTACGCGCCCGTGATGTCAAGACCCATGAGAGTAGCCAGTCGCCGAAAGTCGCCGGTCTAGGCGGAGTAGACGTTTTTGAGCAGATACTGGAGCGCCTTGGTGGTGCACTTGCCGGGAGTGCCAAACTGTACGTCGGGGAGGAGGTCGTGCTCGACAGCTACCTGTTTGAGCCGATAGGTAAAGATCTTCTCCAGAAGCTTTCCCATACAAGGAAGCAACGCGACCGGTCGCCAGCTCTTGGGAAGCTCGTAGTCATCCTTGCCAGCCTTTCGCAGCATGACCGTAGAAGCCTGCTTGAAGGCAGCGGGATGATGACCGAGCTTGAGACAGGCTGCAAACAGGTGGTGAAGGTAGGGTAAAAGTTCCTCCTGGGCCATCTTCATGCCCTCGTAGGCTAGCAGGTCTGGCCCTGCTGCCTTACCAGTAGGCGCGCCTGCGATGAGCCTCTTGACCTCGGACATTTCCAAGTCCTGCGAAACAACAAAGGGAACTCTCTCCGGGTTGTCGGGTGGCCGGTCGGGAGGGACCTGCTGCTCGTCACTGGTTCCGTCTGGCCACATGGCCTGTCTGAAGCAGCCAGTCATACTGTCAGGCGTACGATGGGTAACATTGTTGCCCTTGAGCTGCCGGATGGGCATGAGGGCCTTCTTGTTCCAGCTGGCGCCCCGCCTGGCCCAAAAGTAGAGTCTTCTGCGTTTTGCGATATCCCGGGAGAGCATGCGATGGAAAGAGGCGGAACGCTCTTTGCGAATGACGTTTTGCGCCAAGCGTTTGACCTTGTAATGCTGCTGGGCCTCTGTGGCGATGTGAGAGCTGCGTTCTCTCTCCTCCGCCAGTCTCAGAAGATTCTGGGCTCGCTGAGCGACAAGGTTTGGCCGGGACTTGGGACGCTTGGAGCCTGGCGGGGACGCTAGAGGTACCAACGTCTCAATGGCTGGACCGAATGCCTGCGCGACCTCGCGGCCGTAGTCATCGATCATGGCGGGGCTTGTCAGTGCCGGAAACCCAATGGTTTTCAGGGACGCGCCAACACACGCACGAAACTTGTCGGGATCGGTGCGCTTCCAGATGTAGTAGGTGCTCGGCACTCGTTTGAGCTCGAGGTTCAATGTGGTCATAATGACACGGTGATCGGACTCGAAGCCTGGTACGTCTGGAGACTGCCATTGACGAACAAATGGAACAAGAGACGAGCTGATGTAGGTAAGGTCAATTGTACTGCTGTACTCCCCAGCATAACATTTTCCTCGGTAGTAGGTGCGAAAACCACGGGTTTTCAAGAGTTCCATACCGGCCTGGTCAAGGCCGTTGGGGAGCTCGATGGCCTCGGACTCGATCGTGGTTAGTTCGTTTCCACCCCATACCGGATGGTGAAGGTGGAAGTCGCCGACATGGAAGCCCTCACCTGTTGGAGCGACCTTCTGGAGAGGATCCGACATATTGACATTCCTCCGCTGATTGTAGACATTGCGAGTTGCAATGATCTGATCATCACTACTCTGCAGCAGCATCATGGCGGCCAAACCAAAATTAACATCGTGATGGAATTCCACGTCCCAATCGGTGATTGGGATCGACTTGTGTATCAGGTAAGCATCTGCGTGTAGCTTGTCTTTCTCCAGATACTGGTTCGTGATGTGGACCGCCTTTCTTTCCCTGGTTGCCTTGTCCCTCGCCCTTTGGAGGGAGAAGTTCAGGTTTATTGGGACCAAACGCAAGAATGTGGTCAGGAAAAATTGCCCTGATATTGGATGAGACATCTTTCAGTCCGAGAATGTCGAACCTGTGATGGCGAATGTGAAAGTGACTTTTGAGTGACTGAAATTTATGTGTCGCAGCCTTGAAGTTCGTAATAGGAAAGAGGAACCTATCACTTAACGTAATACATAACTACACGTTCTATAATATTGCTACTGCATTCCCTGGACTTGCAACTCCACCAGGGACCTTGAGTGGAACACTCGTCAAGAAGAATGTCCAACGCTTCCTCTTCTTACATTCTTCTGCCAGCTCCTCCAAGTCAAAGAGCTCACCAATTGGCATTCCCCATCCTGCCAGAGCCCATTGATGTATACTAACATCAGGATCATTATACGCTCCCGTCGCAGGGCCTCTTTCGAAGCCAGCAGCATCCGAAGCAATAGCTGCGAAACCGCTATCCCAAAGCCATCTAAGGGATTCTTTAGTAGCTTCAAGCCCCAAAAGGCCTCCAGGCTGGCGGTTGGGAAAGCTCTCCTGCTCTTGGGGTGAGAGCGCGTTATAGTGTGCTGTGAAACCGACGCGGATAAAGAGGATATCGCCTTGGTGGAATTCGATATTCTCTTCGGCGATAATAGCGTGGATGTGAGACATTTCTACAGCGTTGGTTTGGAATGGGGAGAGAGAGATGTTGTTGCGTTGGGACCAGGAGTACCAGTCTATAAGAACACCGCGACCGATGATGCCGCCGTTGTTGGCATAAGCTGTGGGCCGATTAGGAGACAGAAACTAGGATGGATTGATGCTCGTGGGCTTACCATCGATCCCAAGAGATTGTGATCCTGGAACGAATTCCTCCTGTTTGTGGCCCATGTAGAACTGCCCAGTCCTTTGGTATCCTTTCTAACAGTCAGCGGTGTCGATTCACAAAGCAGTTGTACTAACCATAGTGCCTGAAGCCATCCCACTGTGTACTGCTCTGCGTATTCAGCGTGATTACATCGTCATTCATCGTCATGGGAGCTTTGTTGAGTATGCGGTGCTGAAGGGCTTGTCTCCCAAAAGGGGGATGTGAAAGCTTGTCAAGTGGCCAGTCTAAAGATATTCGGATACCTTCTCTTATCTCACTCGCTGCAGCGCGAACGGTCTCTGGTGTCAGCAAGTTGAGCCTACCGAGTTGATCGTCCGGCCCCCAAAGACCCCATGCATTGCCTGGAGGACCATTCTTGTCCAAAGGCAAGTCATCGAACGTAGGAAGCTTCTTCGGAGTCATATTGGTCTGCGAAATTATGTCGATTCACAATCTTTGGCCGACGGATATTGCTGGAACCTTGTATAACAGGCTGGAAGTTCGCCGACGTGACTCAGAGATAATTAAAAACTAGCCCCGCCACTAGAGACCAAAAAAACATGAGCAGGGCATCGGCTGGAAGATAATTTACCCAAGTTATCGTAGTGATGCCAATCAGCGAGTTGATGCTGATCATGTACCCCAGCTTCCCCGCGTCCATCCCTATCCGGGGTATGCCAAGACCCAAATTCCAGAGGGCAACCAGACGCTAGGCGGGGATAATGCAGGGGTGGATGAATGTTTGGATCAGATAACGGAAATAATCCGCGGAATTTTATGTCGCGTGCCAGAGCCTCGGGTCGTGCATGGCCGAGGATGAGGATCTGTTTGCTCGCATTTAAGACGGGAACGATCCCTATATTGAGTGGTCTTGCGTCAGAATATCTCATTGTACCTGTATCGAGCAGTCATCATGCGCAATCCATTGGCAGCAAGGGCTTCGTCCTTCGAGGGTCAAGACATTCCTCGCGAGATCTATGGCTTCCGGCCTTATCTCCTTGCCATCTCGGCATCATGGGCTTGTGAGTATTTGCAGTATTTTCCCCATCTCTATCGCCAATACTAACTTTGTAAGCTGCTATGTACGGGTACGACAGCGCTTTCATCGGAGGTACTCTCAGTCTACCCTCCTTTCAGCGAACCTACGGCCTAGACACAGCCAGCGCCTCTGCGAAAGCAAATCTGTCGTCCAATATCGTATCAACCTTCCAAGGCGGTGCTTTCTTTGGATGTGCATCAAGTTTCCTTGTTGCTGAACGCTTTGGGCGTCGTCCGACCCTTATTCTCGCCGCTATAATCTTCTCCATCGGCGCGGCCCTTCAGATGATTGGCCGACTCGACTGTCTGTATGTAGGTCGCGCACTAACAGGCTGGGGCGTTGGGTCCAGTGCAATGATCCTCCCTATCTATGTCTCTGAATGCTCACCTGCCCTGATCCGTGGACGACTTGTCGGGACATTCGAAGTCATGCTTCAGGCTGCATTGGTCTGTGGATTCTGGGTTAACTACGGTGTTAATAAGAACATTAGCCCAGAAGGGAATATGCAATGGCACGTTCCTGTCGCTGTTCAGTTTATCCCAGCTGGCCTGTTGGTTATTTTCATGATACCCATGATTGAGTCACCTCGATGGTTGGTCTCCAAAGGTAAACTTCAAGACGCCAGGAAGAATCTCAGCTGGGTTCGCAACCTACCTCAAGATCATGCCTACATTGACCGAGAGATGTCTATGATTGAGGTGGCCATTGAACATGAGATGTCATCGACAGGACAGAGAGGCAATTGGCGCCAGATATTCTCAGAGCTATTCCAGCCTGGAGTTCGTGGTAGGATAGTCTTGTCTTGCGGACTTGTGTCATTTCAAAACTTCACGGGGTAAGTCAAAAGAGGCAAATAATACGAGGCGCAGCTAACAAGAGCAGTATCAATGCCATAAACTACTACTCCCCGACCATTTTCAAGTCCATCGGATTCACTGGCACCTCTGTTGGCCTGCTCGCCACCGGCATTTTTGGCATCGTCAAGATGGCTGCTACCATGCTCTATGCTGCGTTCCTGGTCGACAAGCTAGGACGAAGACCGCTACTACTGATAGGTGGCGTCGGCTCTGGTATCGCAATGTTCTACCTGGCCGGCTACTCCAAGGTGTCAGGCTCGTTTGAGCATATTCCACCGATGGATGCGGGAGCGAAAACTGCTGTGGCGATGGTATACATATATGCTTTGTTTTATGGTATGAGTTGGAATGGAATCCCATGGCTCTTCACGTCTGAGATCATCCCAAACAGAGTCCGTACTCTTGGAATGGCGTTCTGTATCTGTGTTCAGTGGGTGACTCAGTTCATCGTGGTCTACAGCTTGCCGCACATGGTCATTGGGTAAGTCAGTATCTTGACCTAGTATCGGTATAAGCTAACTGTTTAGTATCACCTATGGAACCTTCCTCTTCTTCGGTGCATGCACTGTTCTCGCAATTATTTTTGCATGGCTGTTTATCCCAGAGACAAAAGGCGTACAGCTGGAGGATATGGACCTGCTCTTCGGTCCTGACGTGCCCATCCTTGCGTCCCAGGCGAGGGATAACTATTTACAGGGTATCGCTGCTAGGACCTTAGACGAGCGAGATGGGGAGAAAATGAAGCCAACTGAGATTGAACATGTTTGACCAGTCAACTTAGGCGTCAATTATCAGAGCTTACATCGAAGGATTATTTCCTATGCTTAGGAAGGGCGTGCGTATAAGACCAGTGACCGGAAATAGTGATCATAATTGGAAGCGCGACTAAGGAGCCCTAGAATAGATCCATATACTCAGATAGTTCCCTGGCCCCAGAAGACACCACGGCCGTTGGTTCCAACATAGACCAATCCCGCCTCATTTCCACTTCCAGCTAGCTTAGCACTGTCCGCCGCACCAAAGCCCATAGAGCCCTGGAGATCCGTCCAAGTCTTGCCAAGATCAGAGCTGCCATATAGCTTGCGGCCCGCAGACCCTGTTCCGAAAGCGTACACATTCCAATTGCTTCCAGAGCCCTTACCGAGAGCAATCTGCTCAGTCTTGCTAAGACCGCTAATCTTGGAGAATGCGCTGCCGTAGTCTGTGCTGCGAAAGATACCAGCGTCGGTAGAGACCCAGACCTCGCCTGCCTTGGTAGGATGAGCGGCGATGTCTTTGACAGAGTTTGCTCCATCGAGAGATCCACCAGTGGAGAAGCTAGAAGCTGTGTTGTTGGAGACGTAGAACTTTGATCCTGATGCACCGTAGAAGTAGTCGTTGTCTTGCTTGTCACTAGCAACGAGAGCGCCGTTCGGAAGACTGGAGACAGAAGCGAAGCTGCCTTCGTTTTGAGATCTCAAGACACCTTGGTTCTCGGGAGACCAGACAATTGTATCTCCATTCGCAGAGTAGGAGATGGCGCCTCCCTTGGGACCCTGCGCAGCCGCGCCGTGAAGCTTCCACGACTTACCGCCGTCGGATGATAGCGCAACTTGAGGGTTGCTGTCGCTATTTCCAGCTCGGACAACATTGCCAACCTTCTTGCCAGCGTAGTCAGCACTAGTAGATGTCGTGAACATTGGGTTGTCCCAGGCTGAGAGTGGAGATTTGCCAAGAACGCTCTTGGAGGCAAAGGTGAACCCGCTGTCATCGCCAACGGCCGCAAGAAGTTCACTTCCTCCAGGTGCAGACTTGACGTCGAGAACTGCGGTCTCCTCGATACCGTCGGCAAGAGACTCAATAGTGATGTTGTGAACGGTGTCCCACTTGGTGAGATCATGGCCACCGTAGAGTGTCAGACCAGTGCCGTACAACCAGTGGCTGCTGTCAAAGGGATCAATAGCCAGAGCTTCAACCATCCAACCCAGCTTCTTGGTATCAACGGAAATGAAGTTCTTGTAGATCCAAGGTGCCTTTGGTGTAGAGATGCTGTAGTGAAGATCGAGGTTACCCTGGGCGTTGTAGTTCCAGAGCGTAGACCAGGTCTTGCCAGAGTCAGTTGATCGGAAGAATTGGGCATCGGGATACCAAGAGTTGAGTGAGGCAACGACAAGAGTACCCGGTTTCTGGCGGTCGAGAGCAAGACCGCCAAAGCCGAAGTAGACATCTCCAGGTGGGGTGATGTCCTTCCAAGTGTTGGCTGCAACATCGTAGCGGTAAACGGCACCGGCAGTACCATCATAAGGTCCACCACCATTGCTGTAAGAAAGGTACAAAGCCTTCTCCTTTGGTGAGAACTGACCTTTGTGGGGAAGATACTTCACAGGCTGGCCATCCACAGGCTTCCACGTCTTACCCGCATCAGTGGTAACATACACAGAAGCAGTCTTTGTATCAGCAACACCGACAAAGATGCGCGACGTAGCTCCGTTGACAAGAGATGAGGTAGAGTCAAATGTGACAAAGGACAAACCCTGAATGTCACTGTTGTATCCAGAGCTATCACTCGGATCGGCAACGTAAGCGCCGACGTTGGTGAACGAAGTGACTTTGGAGAAGCTCTTGCCACCATCCGTACTCTTCCAGAGGCCGTTGCCGCTCCGAGCTCCGAAGTAGATGATGTTGGAATTCTTGGGGTCAACGGCGAGACGCTCGCCCATACCGCGGCCGGGCATGTTACCGCCTACCTTGAAGGGGAGCTCAGTGAAGGACCAAGTAGCGCCTTTGTCGTTGCTGATACCGATAGCTCCGTTGTTGGGATCCCTATGGCAGCATTAGACTCCCGACCACCATAGGAAAGTTTGCTTGAGGTGAGTTACCATGAGTTTGTGTACAATCCAGCAGCAGTGAGAACCTTGTTAGGGTTACTTGGATCAAGGGCCAGAGCATCGATACCCCAACGGCTCCTGCGAAAGTATCAGTACGTTCTAATGACTGCTGATTCTCAACATACCATGTGGCATCAACACCAGTACTATCAGTCAGCGGCGTCCAAGAGTCATCCGCGTTGAGACGGTAAAGTCCACCGATGTCAGTTCGCGCGTATGCAACGCCCTTGGCAGTAGGGTGAAACTCAATGCCAGGAACAAAGCCGCCTCCACCGCCAAAACGGACATTCTGCCATTTCAAAGCAGCTTGCGCAACGCTTGCCGAAGCAGCGAGAAGAGAGAGCAACTTCATGGTGAATTCCAGCAGATAACGAATGACACTGTATTGAAAGAAAGTCTGAACATCATATCTGGCGAATTATAGGCATCTTTTATATGAGCGCTTTGAGGTGACGTGATAGTCTGGTTCCGTTGTCCGTTGCAGTGTTTCGGATATGAACCCTCCGTGACGAAACAGGATTACGCAGGGGTATAAGGCTCATCAAACGCCGAACGTGCTCAAAATTGAATGGATTGCGAGGGTTTTTTATTCATCACCGTATTTAATCTACGGCACTTGGAGATTTTCCACCTACCAGATGAGGGTTGTGCCTCACAGGAATGATTGGTGGTGGCATGTTCAGACGACATTGCCAGTCTCGGGCCGCCATATACCGCCGTTTGTTCAAGTTAGGCAATTTTTGGTTTCGTGCCGCATCCGGGTTCAGGTTACGCCATTTATTTTCGGAGTCTCGGCACGAGTTGCAGCAGTTCACGTGTGCGTAATTGATGTGCCAAAGGATGGTGGTTGGATCGCAGCGTCAGAAGATTCGTTGTCTCCTGGGGTTACGGCATTTTCTTTTCCCAATGACATGACTTTTCATATCCAGTAAATGTTATATACAGATTGGCCCCGAGAAGAAACATAAAGATAAGAAGCAATTTACTAGAGGTATACTTATACTGTATTATTAAATACTATAATGCTACTCTAGAGTTTAGGGTAGTCAAGATTGATTTGAAGTTGTGACTGTATGTCTTTTAATTCTTATATCCTATTATAATCTTAAGAATGGTTAATTATCCTCTTTGTTCTTTAAGCTGTGGCCAATCGTATAGTTGCCAAACGCTGTTTGTTTCGTCGTCAATAAATGCACTATTAATCTATTCCTTCACGTCTTCCCCGTTTTGAGGAGTTTACCATCGTGAGATAACCTCATCTCTGTATAAAACCCAGCGTTTTGCTCACGTAATCTTTAACTGGTCCAATCACCATTATTTTGAAGATCAAAGATGCAAGAGTCGCAGCAAGTCAATTGTATTTCATATCACAAGGAGGAGAAGGACCCTGAACCCGAGGTTGGCTGACAAGCTGCATGCATACCCCACACTTTGATCCTGCATCTGAGCATCAAGATGCGATTCTTGATCCTCGGCTTCCCCACTTCTTGGTTGGCCAAGCTTTGCGGGATATATCTCAAAACCTGGGGTAAGCATCCTTTCTGGGGTTTACTGAACTCTGTTTGAATGCCATTAGCCAATGTGCGTGACTCTCAGGTGTAGTTCGAAGAGAAGGCCCGATACGTACATGAAATGGGGTCGTGTGACTTGTAAACTTCACAATTTGGACTGCAACAATGTGGAAGCATTTAATTTGTCCCTTCTTTGAAGACATGCTGAGAGAGGTCCTCAAGAGAAGAATTAAGATCGTCCCGATCATCAATACACTACATAGTACTGGACTCGCTTGGCTTAGAATAAATTGATTCAGTTGTGCCCATTGCTATACAGCTCAACTATGTCCACCAAAAGTCTGGCTCTTAACACGTGATAGTAAGAAAAGAACAAAACTAATTGCACTTCTGACAAGCGAGACTACGTAGCCATGTGAATTCCGCATAGCCGATCAAGCGTAGGAATCCAAGCTATCTGAACTAGACAAGAAAGGGAAGGAGAATTATACACTGGACACACTGCAAGTATCTTAAGGATATTGAAGGAGAGCAGTCGCCTATAAAAAGGAGACAGCTATCTAGATATGAGCTTGTATGCTCACACTCCATCTTCCTGTTCTTTAGACAAAGCGATTGCTTTTAAGAAATAGTATACTGTTCTCAATCTTCAAATCTTGCTCTTCACCATGCATGCCTCATTCATCCTTTCCTTCCTCCTGGCTGGTGCTACGGCCTTGCCAACAGCGTCATCAAACAAAAACAGAGCCGTCGCTGCCCAAGATGGCAACCTACTTGAAGCCCGAGACCTTCTCAATCGCAATGATCTTGAAAATAGCGATTCTTCCAATTGTCCCTCAGCAATTCTGATCTATGCACGTGGTAGTACAGAACCTGGCAACCTTGTTCGTTGCATGAGGCCCATACACGAGATTGTTAAAGCTAATCCAGTTAGGGAATCACGGTTGGGCCGATCCTCGCAGAGGCCTTGCAGCTCGCTATCCCTGATATCTGGATACAAGGTGTCGGTGGGCCCTATACGGCTGATCTCGCACCCAACTTTTTTCCGGAGGGGACCACTGATGCCTCGATTGATGAAGCTAAAAGACTTTTCCAAATGGCCTACGATAAGTGCCCAGATACGCCCGTCGTGACGGCTGGTTACAGGCAAGTAATTCTCTTCATCAATTTACTGTTTCTTTGCTCATTCTGTACATTAAACAGTCAAGGCACGGTTGTAGTCGGATATGCCCTCAGTGAACTCGAAGGCGCCGTCCAGAATAAGGTTGTTGGAGCCGCATTGTTTGGATATACCAAGAACGAGCAGCTCGGGGGCCGTATCCCGAACTATCCTACTGACAGAACTAAAATCTTCTGTCTGCCTACGGATCTAGTGTGTGACGGAACCTTGTTCATTCTTCCTGCTCACTTTCTATACGGTGCAGATGCGGCGGGACCAGGTGCGGAATTCCTGATTGGGCAGATTAATGAGTAGAAGGGTTTTTGACAGGATATTGCAGTCCTTCTCTGTGATGGAGGGGAGATGGCAAGAATGGATGTATTAGCAGAAGATGGAGAGATCAGTGATGGACTTGGAGGAGAAAGCGAATCAAGTACAGCAACGTGCACGAGTTTATTTATGTTCCCCTTCCGCCGCCGTGTATGTGTTACCGCGAACACTCCGTTAGAAGAGCCTGTTCAATGCACCCAGCTGTAGCGTAATGACCTTAGAACTAGTCTCTTTCTCCATCGCTTCCGTAGCAGGTGCTAATTCTAACCGCTTTGGTGAGATCGGCTGATCCTCGTGCATACACCAGATCACCTTCTTCGGCTCTCCCAAAAGCTTCGACAATCTCACCGCGAACTGCGCCGCCGACCCATCGAACGGTCTCCCGTTCAAGTTTCCCCGTCCAGCGATTGCTTGAATAAGTACGTCTGGCTGTGGCTGCACTGTTTTCACTATTCCATCGTACATACCCAGATGCCCGTTCCAAAGGACGGTTTTACCCTCTCCGAAAAGGAAGTTGAACATCAACTGCCCCCCGTCGAAAGGAGATGAACATTTGCTTGCAGGCCCATCAATCCAGTCGACAAAAGAGCGCATACCTGCATCCATAGCTTCACGAGGCATGTGGTCGCTGAGCTTGAGGAGACCGTGTCGCAGCATAAACGTGATATCAAGAGTACAAGCGTACTGACTTGCTCCTCCGATATACTCCTTTCCTGTATCCATCACTTCCGGTAAGTCGGCAGGAGAGCTGCCTGGCAACATGGCATGTAGAGAAGGCCAGACTTGGACGGAAGCCACTGCCAAGCTAGGGTCTGGACGTGCAGGGGCCCCTGGTGGCCCAGGGGTGACGGCAACTTCACCACGAGTTGCGGCTTGACGAGACTCGAGAGTGAAAAGAGGGATGCGCTCACCACCAGCCACTGGTATCAACTGGTCCTCGGGTACTCCAGCTGACCGGAGGGCGTTGATGGCTTCACCGTTGGCGATAACGTGTGCCCCCGTCTTGATTGCTATCTTGTCGGCTCCGGGGAGACTGCGTGAAAGACACCTGTTTAGCCGCTCTGTGTACGAGGCGATATCGTAGATGGGGACATGATACTCACTGGTCGAAATGGGCATGGGAGATGAAGATGTAATCCGCCTCAGTCACATCGTCGACAGCCAAAACTTTGGGCATCCCATCTGGGCGGTCCAACCACGTATCTAAGAAAATGACAAGACCGTTGACCTTGATGCGGAACGTGGTCCAACCTGGGTGATTAATTAATAACCCATAAGACCCTTAAGTAGAGTGCCATGATGACTTACCTAGCCACTCAATTGTTGCGTCCATGCTGAAGTTTAGGGAAGAGGCGAGTGATCTGTGATACGCGAGAGCTGAGTTCAGATCGAGATGGTTTTGTCGCAGGATGTCCACAGCGTAAGTTGGCACGCCTTGATATAGCCAGGCTGTAACGGACTCTAAGAACTAAGCACGGGGGCCTCCGCAACTCCACACCGCTGGACGGAGTTCCACATACGGACACCTCCACACTACACTGCGGGGTAGTCCGATGTGGTGTTATGCCGTCGGCCCAGCCAATGCACTACACCATTACCGAAAGTGACGTTAAGATATAAGTGAGATGTCACATAAACGTTGAGATTTCGGAAAGGGGATGCTCAATTCCACATTTTACTATCTGTCGCTTATTCCATTAGACTACGACAGCATCTACCATGGCCACCTCCAAATTTCTTTCTGGCGAGGAAAATAAGGGCAAAATTCGAGTCGCAATCATTGGTGCAGGCCTCGCCGGACTTGCTGTCGCCAACGGTCTACTGAAGGACCCAGAGGAGAGATTCGATGTTCAGATCTTCGAACGAGACACGATTGCATTCAGCTCAGAGCGAGGCGGATATCAGCTTCGCATCAGCCTCAGTGGCCTGAATGCCCTCAAGACAGTGTCCAGCCCTGAAGTATGGTCCAAAGTCCGCGAGGTCTGGTCCGAGGACCAAGCGACGGCACCTACGCTTGTTGACCCTGCTACCTTCAAGGCTCTCCTACGCCTAGACAGGCACAAGTGGTATCCCCTGAGCCGGTCCTTGCCAAGACTCGGGCTGCGTCGTACGTTTCTGGAGCCGATGCTCGCCCAAGGGAGGGTTCACTTCGGTTATAACTTCCAGCGCTTTGAACTCATTTCGGGGGAAAGGCGTGGTGTGCGGCTGCATTTCGACGGTCACGACCCAGAGGATGCAGACATTCTCATTGCAGCAGACGGCAGCAGCAGCCAGGTCAATAAGCAAGTTGGCATCAACAACAAGATCAAGCTGCAGAGCCAGTTCTTGGTTCAATCTCGAGGCCATATTCCACAATCTGTCCGCGATGAACTTCCCGAGTCGCTAGTCAGAGACGGCCCCGCCTTGTTCTTTGGAGGCAAGCATGCCTTTGGATATGTGTCGATTTACAAGAACACAGAAGAACTCAGTCCTGGTCAGAAGGCTTCATACCAATTGTTCTGGTCGATCATCATAGCCAGAGCGCATGGAGAAGAGCTACTAGCCAAGGCCGGCTCGGATCCTCAGAAGATCGTTCCCCACCTCATAGAATACGTACGAAACGAGCTAGGTTATGGCGATCCTTTTGTTCGCATCATGCAATCGGCAACCGAATACATTCGGACAGGCCCTTTGACCAGCTCTGTGAAGCCGGAGAAGGATTGGCGAAATGGCATTGATGAGAATTCGAGAGTCATTCTCCTTGGCGATGCTATGCATCCCATGCCGCCGAGTCGCGGTATGGGAGCGAACCAGGCACTGACTGACGCTGCCAATCTTGTTGATCTCTTCCACGAAACGACTTTCAAACATGGTGCGCCATCTGATCAAGAACTTGCCGCCTTGGTACGTACGTTCGATGAAGAGATGTTGAACCGCGCATTCAACGTGGTGAAGTCTAGTGAGGCCCTGACTTCCTTGGACTCGAGTAAGCTATCAGGCAGGATGATTGTAGCATTTGTTGGAATGCTCATGACCGCAGTGGGATGGGTATGTTCATGCTTGGAGACTGTTGGTTTGAAAGGCAAGCAAAATCTTGACTTTGTGTCACAAAATAAGTAGTCTATACAAGGGGTCTATATGTAGAAGCTAGGTTAATGTACTGATCAATACAAACCATACTGCGGAACTGCTGTCACCATGGTATTAAGTATTTTATATACCGCAAACTCTCTGTCGTCACTCCCATCTACAGGAAGCAGCATAGACTACTCGACCTCTCACCATCTGTTAGCCGACACCTAGACACATCGGAAAGCCTGATCAGAGAAAAAAGAGGTATAAGTATATTCCAACACCTCTCACAGCTCTCGGAACGCCCTGTCGCCGAGAGGGTGGCCTTTGGCTTGCGACTCGAGAAGACCAGATATTACTTGGGCCATCCTCGATATAGAAGAGCCACGTGCCATAACCCGCGACCCTTCTTTGTACAAACGCAGTATGCTTCCGTCATTGTGTAGGAAACCGACCCCAGGAACATGAAGTCTTTTATGGTTTCGTACCTGTAACCAGTCGTTTAGAACATCTACATTAACGATGTGGTCGAGACGGATGATCTCCGCGCTAGAAGTCTCGACGCCACTGCCACGTCGAGTGGGATCGTGTTCTTGCTGCTCGATTATATCTACGTACAGCACCATATATAGTACGGAGACCAAACATCCCATGATATCAAGTACTGTAGCTGGTCTGGTGGTGCGAAAGTGTTGAAGGACCTGCGCTGCGTAGTACAAGCAGCGTCTGGTTCTGGTGACATTGTGTAGTATAGTGTTCGAAAGTTCAGCCCGGGCGTTGCTTTGGCCTGTGTCTGTCGTCTGCCATTTATTGTAGGAGAATAGTAGAGATAGTTGCGTAAATGAGAGAATGGCAAGAACTCGTGACAGTAAGGCAAAGTCATTGGATCTACCGCCAGCGTCTGTTTCGCGCAGGGCTTCTGAGCATCCTACTTGCGATAAGATATCAAAGGCCTTCTCAGAAAGGGTTGTCACCATACCGCGAGCTGGGTTTGGTCGGCTGGCGGTATTGCTAGAAGAGTCGAGCCCCATAGCTTTTAGCAAGTCACTCTCAGCGGTTAGCTGTAACGAGGCCGAGGACAGTAATATACACTGGGTCAGTTGCTCCAGACTCGCTGAAGCTACATCGCCGAGGCCGACACGTGACAATAGAGTACAAAGAGTTGGTGAAGGCGGCGGTGAAGGGAGAAGATGCCACTCCTCACAAGTCGATGACCAATACCGATCGGCGCTGGGTACCGGGGTTTGTAGTTCAGCAGCTGAGAGCAGGGGAGGGAGCATAACAAAACTAGAGTAGAGAAACTCAAAAACTGCTTCTGTAAGCGCAAGGCTGACTGAGATTTAGTAAAGATAACTTACTGTATGCAAAGTGGACGAGCCGCCGTTTAGCTTCGCCTTGTATCCACTGGAACCACGCGTGGTTCAGGTCTTCAGTCGATGCAGGCGTGTGCATCAAGGTACTCTCTCGAGATAGAAATAGGCGACAAAGGGTGACGAGGGTATTTCGGTAAAACTGAGCCTCGACCATAATGCTCCACTCGCCCGAGAGCCAGAGGCTATGCTGGAATAACAAATGTGACTGAGCACAGATCAAGACGTTAACGCTCAATAGCTCTCGAAGCTAAAATGTATAGCAATCGCATTAGTTCAACATCACTGAATGAGCTTGAAAGGTCGTTCTTACATCTACTTTCACCATGTGCTGGGCAACTCGCTGCAGGAGCAGAACATGATCGTGATGGTGGCGTGCTTGGGAGTACCGACTGCCAAGGCAAATCACAGCGAGGACTAGCTGCCATGTCTCGGGAGATGTCTGAAATGTCGGAACATGCAGCAGAGGCATGCGCGGATGAAGGTGTTCAAAATACAGTTGCATATATGTATCGAGATGCCGTAAAGAGGGGAATTTGGAGTCAAGCCCTTGGGCCTCTTGCTGTGGTAGCCTGGCCTTGATGGCTTGAATCATGTATAGTCGCGTCTCTTCGGTCACGGGAGGTACGTGTGGAATGTTCTCCGCGATCAGGATGTCTTCTTCTTCCGCTGTCAGATCATCGTGACCAATAAGATCATGGATATCCTCCACTCTGTCTCTCTGTGTCACTTCTGCACCGAAGCTATTCTGTATACCAAGGTCATCCACAGGCTGACCTGCGGTGGTAAAGGCAGCGTCTCCGAAACAGAATTCGGCTAACGCCCCAGATTCAAAAGAGGGCACGGGCGAAAAGGGCAGCAAGAATTGGGCAGACGTCAAAAGGGTATCCCATGAAAGCTCTGGCTCGATCCAGGGTTGGAGCGGAACAGACGATAGGGGCGTCAGTGGCTGCACCTGCTGTGAAGGCGAGGAATGAGTAGCGGATATAGCATCGTCGGCTGCAGAATGTGCAACGGTAATTGTCTCAGCCACTTCGTCGCCGGGTTTGGGTTGATATACACAGCGACGACCTTTGCTTGTACATTTGGCACAAGGTGCCGGCCTACGGCCATCACAGCGCTGCTTAGCTTTTGCACATGCTTCGCAAGCACGATATTGTTGATCTCGCGAAATGCGAGGATTGCGTCGCATCCATTCGGCCAGGGAAGCAGTACCATGTGTGCCGATATGCCGTTTCAAGGTGTCTCTTTGTCCCCCCGTTAGTCAGCCATGAACATTGGACGAGATATCTCTAGACAGGCTAGGATGTCCAAGTCAGGGGAAAGACAGACATACCTCCGAGAAAAAGCCGTCTTGCAGACATCGCATGTGTAAGAGCGACGTCCGGAGTGGCGGTCCAGATGTCGGATGAGGTGCTCGCGCCGACGGAATGTCTGCCCGCATTCGGGGCACGTCAAAGATGCGGAGGATACGGAGACAGGGGAGGAGTCGCCTCGGAGGCCAGTGCTGTCACCGACACCGATGCTTTCAGCCGGTCTATGGCCATCTTGATCAGGGACTGTGGAGGCATCTGACTGCATGCTGAAGAATCTACTCAGGTGCGAGATTGTCTGACTACTTACTGTCTTTCAGCTGTTGCATTCTGGGTTATTAGACTCCAAGAGTTGGGTACTCCCAAAAGCCTTGCTCGGGGCTTCGGGCGACAAGTGGATAATCGTCTTTGGCTTGATTGGGTGTTGAATCGCTTAGCGGTGTCTGTTGATATGGGGAAATATGGGGAAATATGGAGGCGGGGTGGAACGAATGCGGAGGCGGGGTCCCGAGATGCTATTGTCCGAGTTGGGCGCAAAGCCGGGTCGTTCCCGTTTCAACAGTTGGCCTATAGGAAATGATAAAAACTAAGCAGCATACCTTGATCTAGGCAGTTCCAATCAATTCATTACTCACTACATGCACTGATAATGGCATCGTTTCTAGTCATCACCGAGTACTCCCCGTTGGCGTACCTTGCGGCCGCTGCCGCTCTCGTCACGCTTCAACTTCTTAGGGCTACGTACATGCTCTACTTCCATCCATTGTCCAAGTTCCCAGGACCGCGCTCTGCCGCCCTCAGCCGCAAATGGCAGGCAAAGATCGTCAACAAGGGGTTTCCCGAGAAGGAATATGAAATGCTTCATAAACAGTTTGGTAGATAGCAGCCAATCTCATTCACGGTATTTCACACTGACACATCAACAGGCACAAAGGCGTTGCGCATCGGCCCTAACCACCTCCATATCTCAGATACAAGTCTCTACAAGGTTATCTACAGTCAGACCAATGCTTTTCCCAAGGAGAAGGCTTTTTATGATACCTTTGAGTCTCATCACACAACCTTTAGCGAGACGGATGCTCAATTGCACAAACAGAGACGCAAGCTGCTTAGCCCTCTCTTCTCCAAGGCAGGAGTGAGTAAATTAGAGCCACTTATTCTGGAGAAAGTAAAAGAGACCAAAGAAAAGGTCCAACGTATCTCTCACCGTGGCCCCATCAATGCCTGGCCTGCGTTTAGGTATCAGGACAGTCTTCATGCATATGAATCACTGCTAACATTTCCAGATGCATGACAATTGACATCATCTCGGAGTTCTCATTTGGAACCTGTATCAATTTGATCAACGAGGATCCGGACACCTTCAGCTCGGGATATCTCGCCGCTATGGAAATTGCTGCAGATGTACCATTTCTTAGGTATTACAGCACCACGCAACGGCTCCTGGCAAAGTTCATTCCTCTATCCATCGCTGCCAACTTCAACCCGGTACTGAGTCAACTCCAGAGGCTGGTTGGAATCATAGTGCACTCGTATGATAACTACACTCATCGGACGAATGATTCTCGCTTCCCTGTCCTTTTTGACAATCTACAGGCCATACCTCCTGACATGCAGAAGGCTGAGGCCATCAATACATTTATCGCTGGGTCTGACACGACCGCCTTTACGCTTGTCACGGCGCTCTACCACATTCTTCGTTTACCTGAGGTCGAGAAAAGACTGACAGAGTCAGTGGATGAAATCTTTGGAGAGCATCAAGCCATTCCATCGCTTCTCCAACTCGAGCAGACGAAATATTTGGTAGGCACTGAAAATCTCCCATTGGTTGAGGAAGACCTTTTACTTACTTCCTTCTAGCGCGCATGTATCAACGAGGCTCTCCGTCTTGCAATGTCGGTACCTGGCATACTCCCTCGTGTTGTACCCAGACGATCGCAGCCGTTTGTTGTGGACGGTAAAGTGGTACCTCCAGGTGTATGTTAATCCCCAACGTGCTCCTATAAACTGACATTAACATGGGTAGACGGTTGTCGGAATGTCGGCGTATACGATGAACACCGATGCCCAGATCTGGGGCCAAGATGCCCATTCCTTCAATCCAGACCGTTGGCTTGGCCCAAACGCGAAGGAGCTTGAGACACATATGTGTACATTCAGCAAAGGTGCTCGTCAGTGCATAGGAATCAAGTATGTAACACGAAGTCGCGGAGAAGTAACAAAGGCTAACTGCAAAGTGTCGCGTATGCGGAGGCTACTATCGCCCTGGCACACTTCTTCTACAACTTTAAGATGGAGTTGAAGACAAAGAAGTTACGTATAGCAGATAAATTCACCACTGAGGCGTCTGATCCGGGGTTACTTGTAGACTTCAAGCTGCGACAACATAGTTAAGGCGGTTTCCGGCTGAACCAGAAGAGACAAGCAGAACACCTGAGTACTCTTAATTAAGACTATTGCAACTAGGGTTAGACATGCAGGAGGCCTTTTAGTTTACTTATTACATTGAATCTATGCCCTCGCTCTATTCTCGACATGGCCTTGTGTGATTTCACACTAGTTTTCCAAATCCTTGAACTCATTTAAATCACAACACAAAGCAAATGGAACTACTCTGTTTCAACAGGTTCGTGGCATCTGCCGGGAGTCCCATTGAGGGGGTGGGGAAATTCCGTACTTCCAAGTCGAAGCTACCCAACAATTGACTGTGAGGTGTTTAACCAGGGTGGGACAACTCCGATTGTAGAGTTAGGATCGCCACAAACAAATGGGATATATCAAGCCAAAAACAACCTGATATGTTCGCCTATCTCGATATTTACACTATTCAGTACCATTAAATCTGCCTTATATTCTTTACATCCCAGAAACTCGACAACATGACCCAAACCGCACAGCCTTTCTCTGTACCTGTCATATTTACCGAACTGGACCATGAGCCAAAGAACACCTGGACTGACTATGGCCCTCCCGAGAGGCGAACCATTGCCAAAGGATGGGTCAAAGAGGAAGGTCGGAAGGCATTTACGGTCGATACAGTGTGGGAGAAAGACATCTGTATCCCGCTCCGAGATGGCGTCGAGCTCTTAGCTGACGTTTTCCGTCCACTCACTTCCGACGACAAACCTGTCCCAGCCATCATGCCCTGGAGCCATTATGGCAAGACTGGAACAGGCATTCAGCAGCTTGACATGTTTCCGTGGAGAGTCGGTGTGCCTCGTTCCGAGACGAGCGGTCTGGAGAAGTGGGAGGCTCCTGACCCTGCTGAGTGGGTAGCCCGCGGTTACGCCGTCGTCAACATCGATGCTCGCGGAGCCTTCAAATCTGGGGGCGATCTCTACGTATACGGGACTCAAGAGGGCCGTGATGGATACGACTGTATCGAGTGGATCGCACAGCAAGCTTGGTGCAACGAGAGGGTCGCCATGGCTGGTAACTCGTGGCTCGGGACAACGCAGTGGTTCATCGCTGCTGAGCAACCTCCTCACTTGGCCTGCATGGCACCCTGGGAAGGGCTCGGAGACTACTACAGGGAGTCCATCTGTCGCGGTGGCATCCCAGACCATGCTTTCTGGGATTTGTTGATGAACTGGACATGCGGTAAGTCTTGTCTGTCGTCTGATCTTGGTGCTATTGAGGAGAGTTCACTGACTTTGCAAACCTCCGTAGGACCTGGAAAGCGTGAGGACGCCGGCGCGATGGTGGAGAAATATGGCACCTGGAATGACTATTGGGAGGACAAGAAACCGAAGCTTCGCAACATCGTCACTCCAATGTATGCCACTGCTAGCTTCTCGACCAGGCTACATACCGAAGGATCACTCCGAGGATTTCAGCTTTCTCGATCATCTGAGAAATGGTATGTTCGCTGTGACGGCAACGCTTATCATCTGCTTCCATTACTGATGCATCGTGATAGGTTGCGTTGGATTGTCACACAGGAATGGCATGACCTTTATCGGCCAGAAAATGTTGACGATTTGCAGCGATTCTTCGATAAGTATATGCTCGACAAAGACAATGGCTGGGAAAAGACACCTCGCGTTCGATACTCGCTTCTGGGCTATAATCGCCCAAGCATAGTCCACAAGCCGGCTGATCAGTATCCACCAGCAAAGTTCAGGTACGAAACCTTATTCCTCGATGCGGCCAGCGGGACTCTAGAGCACAGCAAGCCTTCCACTGAGAGCGTGGTTGAGTACCAAGCGGATTCCCCGTCTGACAACGGATGCTCGTTCACCTACACCTTCAAGGAGTACACCGAGTTGTGTGGTATCTCCAAGGCCAGAGTTTACATGTCAACGCCTGATCATGACGATATAGTAAGTCTCTTCCCCTTAGGGCTCCTATGTGTGGACTTGAACATATTTGTCCCTAACCCAATTCTCTCAGGACGTGTACGTTGTTCTGCGTAAACTCGACAAAAACGGCAGAGAGTTGTGGCATAAGAACATTCCCATGGAAGACCTCCCAGAGGGTACAACAGTGGAAGACATTCCGAACCATAATGTCTGGTAAGCTTAAACTGCGTTCAATGTATGAATGACCAGTAACAAATCTTGCACAGGCGGTACATCGGGCCCAACGGTCGTCTTCGTGCATCGCATCGCGCCGTCACCTATGAGTCGCTTGAAGGCCTAGGCCCAGATGAATACAATAAACTGATGGGACCCGCGTACGTGTATCATCCACATACAGCAACACAACCATTACGCCAGGGTCAAATTGTCGAGCTCGACATTAGTCTCTGGCCTGGGGGTATAATCTTTGATGCTGGAGAGTCCATGAGGCTTGAATTTGCGGGACAGTGCCAAGTCCTACAGGACTTTGATGGTGTGAATGAGCATCTGGTGAATTACAACGTTGGTCGGCATAGGCTGCATACAGGTGGGGGATATGAGTCTCAATTCTTGGTGAACCTGTGGAGGAGCGGTCAGAAAGATGATATTGCTGAGAGGGCTTAGGCTGGGTGTTGCAATGGTACACTATCGATCTCAGAACATGGTAGATGAGATAGGATGGCATAGGTTTTATTGACTGACTTTTTCTTATTAAGTCGTGTAGGCGAGTTAGCTGGTCTTAGCAACCCACATAACTGAAGTTGGCATTGTCATGACTTATTCCTCAATCTATGGAACCATATCGAAAAGGAGTTGTCCTAAATACATGCAAATTGTTCGCGTATGTCATGCTCATACACATCTTAGCACGACAACACTGTCGCTGAGTACTGGTTATAGGCAAAGCTATTAAGGCATGGAACAGCGTGGCACTGTATACGGGTGTCCATAAGGCTTAACTTTGGGCTAACCTTGTGTTGTTGCAATCTTTCTGCCTGGCACTCTTCGCACTGGTCTAGATTCAGGCCCGCTATGTCTGGTATGTGACTACCAGACAGTTATCTGTTTTTTCATGTCATTATTCTGTTCTAGGGGCTTACCAAGTTGCACATCCTTGCAAAGTGGCTCCGTTGAGGCTCGGAGTACTGCTTCACCCCATCCGCCGAATTGCCGGGGCATTATCGGCTGGTCAACAACGCGCTACCCCGCCGCATGCCTAGCACATCCGAGACCTATGCTTCTCCGGCCCCTCCCCCGCAACATCGCCGCTTGATTAGTGTGACTGAAGATTGAAGTGTGGGCCAGACAACTCGCCCTCCGCTCTGTCGCTTCACCTTCAGACGAGATCGAGTTCCGAGAAGCTCATCTGGGAATGATGCGGGGCAGAGAACGCTTATCGGTAGCTTCTATCGGTAAATAGGAGTGACTTGAGTCAACTCGTTCACTACTACATAAAGACCCTTGAGTTTGTAGAAGATCGGGTTTTATGAATCATTATCTTCTACACTCCTTGCCTATACGTAAAACATTAAGCCCGCATCCAATTCCTCACAGAGACAATGTCTTCCTCATCTCAAGTCCTTCCCCCAGGCATTGGACCTTCCGAACATCGCCAATTCTTCGATGAGCTTGCCAAGGTCGTTGGCGACGAAAATATCTCGCGGGATGCATCAACGGGTGCCTTGATTGGCCCTCATCAGCAGCATAGCTACGGCGATCCTTACGCCCTCGTGAATCAAGATCAGCACTTGCCTAGTGGTGCCGTTCGACCAGCGTCTGTAGAGGAGGTACAGCAAGTTCTACGACTGGCAAACCGATTCAAAGTCCCTCTTTGGACGATATCGCGCGGTAGAAATCTTGGCTATGGTGGCTCGGCACCTGCTGTGGCAGGGAGCGTGGTCCTTGACTTGCATCGAATGAACCGCATAGTGGAGGTCAACGAGGCGGGTGCGTACGCCATTGTGGAACCGGGTGTCTCTTTCCTTGATCTCTACGAAGAGATCAAACGGCGGGACCTCGCGCTCTGGCCCTCTTGTGCCGCCATCGGATGGGGGTCCGTCGTGGGCAACACGCTAGACCATGGCTTCGGTTATACTCCTGACGGCGTGCATACAGAAGCACAGTGCGGCATGGAGGTTGTCCTTCCTACAGGCGAGCTGTTGCGTACGGGTATGGGTGCTATGACTGACAGTCGGCTGTTCCCTCTTTACAAAGCGTAAGTTGTTAGCCATGGACTGTTATCAGCTGATCTATTCAACATACTGAGTACTCTCTAGCGGATTTGGCCCAAGCGTAGATGGTCTTTTCTACCAATCTAATCTAGGTCAGTCTTCCCCTTTCCAAAATGGCAGCATACCATCCATGCAAGTATACTAACTCGCGCATCAGGCGTGGTGACCAAATTAGGCATCCATATTACCCCAGCACCCGAGGCGTACACCGCTTGTGAGCTGAGCGTGCCAAACGAGAGAGATCTTCCCCAGCTCGTAGAGCTCCTTGCAAATCTCCAACGGCGAGGCGTGGTCACCAATCACCCCTCCATTTCTAATGTTTTCCGCCAGGCTATCCTGTCGCCGGACGAGGCTGTTAAAGCAAAACTGGGACCGCATTTTGGCCCTGGCAAGGCCGTGCCGGAGAGCGTCCTGGATGAGATCAAGTCTTCTCATGGCTGGGGATTCTGGAAAGCCGAGTTCGGTCTTCAAGGCGACGCGGATGTGGTGCCGGCCCTGGAGAGCTCACTGCGTCGAGCCATCACAAAGATTCCTGGAGCCCAGCTTAAAGTAAAGCACTTTGGTGGTATCCCCGGCAAATTCCTTCGTGGACATGAAGTCGAGACGGAGTCTGTCCCCCATAGTGGTGTTCCGACGCTGGAGGCGCTGTCCCTGATGGACTACCGCCTGGCGCAGGGAAGCGGGCACACAGACTTCGCCCCAGTCGTCCCTACCTCGGGCCCAGGGTTGCTAGAATGGTACCTAGCAGCGAAGGAGATGGTCTCTGCGGCAAATCTGGACTTCTTCGCCGATTTCCACTGCTACTCTCGGTACATCATTCCGATCGTCTTGGTTGTGTATGCCCCCGAGGAGAAGGAGCGGGCAAAGGAACTCGGCCAGAAACTCATTGATGATGCTGTCCGTCGTGGACTCACCACATATCGAACTCACGTTGAATTTATGGATCAAATCAGAGGTCACTTCTCATTCAACGGACATGCCCTTGCCAAGCTCGTTGATGGCTTCAAGGCCATGATGGATCCTAATGGGATTTTGTCACCTGGCAAATCGGGCATCGGGGGAACAAAGTAAAGGCCATAGTGCAAAAACTCATATTTAAGAATTTATAAATTCCAAACCCTTGTTTCTCCGTCGCAGTTACACTCCCTTGCCATGGTATCATTGAAATCGATAGAAGGCATTGTAATTTAACGCTGACTACCAAGATTAAAGGCTAAACGATCGGCGTGGGGAGCATTTAGCCTTACTTTCCAGCCGCCTCCTATATTCACGTATCAAAGCCCCAACCGATCTGGTCACTTGATGCCCCAGCAATACGCATCAGACTCCTCGCACCGCTGACAGCGTTGAATCGTCCGCCCTGGAAGGCGGCTGCGGCGACTCCCATAGCAGCTCTGGTATCAACACCCTCGTTTCTCGTGTTCGCATCTCCCCTCTCTAGAACCTGATTCAAGAATGCATCGCCTGCCAAGCCCTCATATCGGTCCAGACAAAGCTGCTTGATGGCGGGCCCATACAAGTCCACCCATTGCTGCTCACTAACAGTTGTATAGCGCTTCTGGCCGTTTGCATCAGTTAGAGAGAATGGCCATTCGGCACTGACGACTTGATACCGCTTTGTAATGAAGAAGAGGATTGGCCATGAGAAGATCCAGAGGAACGTGAGGTAGAAGATCCAACAGATCCAGGTCGTCAGGCGCCAAGTGTTGAGGCGGTTGGACGAGTAGATGTCGACTGC